GCTCCCAGGTATCTTTTATACAGGTAACGAGCTGAGATTAGGAGCACACTCTTAAAGGGAGTGCTCCTAATCTCAGCTTGTTACCTGTATAAGAGACACCTGTCCACAGAAGCAATCAATCAATCAGATTCACAACTCTCCACCATCGCCAAGACCAAAGAGCTCTCCAAGGATGTCAGGGACAAGATTGTAGACCTACAAAAGGCTGAAATGGGCTACGAGACCATTGCCAAGCAGCTTGGTGAGAAGGTGACAACAGTTGATGCGATTATTCGCAAATAGAAGAAATACAAAAGAACTGTCAATCTCCCTCGGCCTGGGGCTCCATGCAAGATATCACCTCGTGGAGTTGCAATGATCATGAGAACGGTGAAGAATCAGCCCAGAACTACACGGGAGGATCTTGTCAATAATCTCAAGGCAGCTGGGACCATAGTCACCAAGAAAACAATTGGTAACACACTACGCTGTGAAGGACTAAAATCCTGCAGCGCCCGCAAGGTCCCCCTGCTCAAGAAAGCACATAGACATGCCCGTCTGAAGTTTGCCAATGAACATCTGAATGATTCAGAGGACAACACGGTGAAAGTGTTGTAGTCAGATGAGACCAAAATTGAGCTCTTTGGCATCAACTCAACTCGCCGTGTTTGGAGGAGGAGGAATGCTGCCTATGACCCCAAGAACACCATCCCCACCGTCAAACATGGAGGTGGAAACATTATGCTTTGGGGGTGTTTTTCTGCTAAGTGGACAGGACAACTTCACCGCATCAAAGGGACGATGGACGGGGCCATGTACCGTCAAATCTTGGGTGAGAACCTCCTTCCCTCAGCCAGGGCATTGAAAATGGGTCGTGGATGGGTATTCCAGCATGACAATGACCCAAAACACACGGCCAAGGCAACAAAGGGGTGGCTCAAGAAGAAGCACATTAAGGTCCTGGAGTGGCCTAGCCAGTCTCCAGACCTTAATCCCCTAGAAAATCTGTGGAGGGAGCTGAAGGTTCGAGTTGCCAAACGTCAGCCTCGAAACCTTAATAACTTGGAGAAGATCTGCAAAGAGGAGTGGGACAAAATCCCTCCTGAGATGTGTGCAAACCTGGTGGCCAACTACAAGAAACGTCTGACCTCTGTGATTGCCAACAAGGGTTTTGCTACCAAGTACTAAGTCATATTTTGCAGAGGGGTCAAATACTTATTTCCCTCATTCAAATGCAAATCAATTAATAAAAATTTTGACATGCGTTTTTCTGGATTTTTTTGTTGTCATTCTGTCTCTCACTGTTAAAATAAACCTACCATTACAATTATAGACTGATCATTTCTTTGTCAGTGGGCAAACGTACAAAATCAACAGGGGATCAAATACCTTTTTTTCCCTCACTGTAGGTCCAAAGTAAGTTTAGGTGCTAAACTTACTTTTCCCCTCACTGTATATGAAGCGTCGCGTGTTTGTGCTGGCACAATCACAAAATGTATCTTCCTCCTCCTGTTCCCGTCGTAGTCCATTTGCGACGAAGAATGGTCATTGCAGGAAACTTCGCATATGATATATTTTGTTTCATTTAAATGCAGTGTCATTGACGAATGTATTCCGTTGTAATAAGGCGAGCGTGATGCATTAGATGTCGATGTGACTAGCACCACGTCCGGCGTCCTTGTCTCCCCAGTGATTATGTTTAAGAAAGAAAACGCACCAGGTACTTCCCCAGTAAACATGCAACGTTGGGCCAACGTTGGCATGTGGCTGCAACCGATGTACTAACGTTGACCCAATGTTGTTGATCCATCTTTACTGCGTCATTTTAGTCGACCTCGGGCAGGCTCAGGACTGTTTCAGATAATAACCACTGATATAGTATTATCTACAACCGGGAATGGAACGCTGGTCGACGGGGATGTAACACATTGCGTTAACCACCATGATCAATCCACTGCTGGACGAAGGCCTTCCCAAGCTGCAGCTACCTCTCATGATCTTGTGATGCAATAATTAATCCAGTATGAGCTGATTTCATCTTTCAATCTCCTCTCGGATGCGTTCAATTACTTGGTTGCCAATCCATTATTGTGCTTAACCATAATCTGTAATTCCCTATCTATGTCTCCGTCTGTATGTGTCGGTGTCTTTGTATGGACTGTGTATAAGTGTGTCTCCATGTCTTTGTGTGTTTCCGTGTCTGTCTGCGAGCTCTGTATCTGTATCTCTCCGTGTCCCTGTGGATGCCCCCGCGTCTCTTGTGTGCGTGTCTCCGTGGGTGTCTTCACGTCTCCGTGTGGGACTATCTATTTTTTTACATAAAAAGTGCAGATAAGCCACGAGTAGTAGGAACTATTTAGTGTGTAGCTCCACTTATCCGCGAAAATTGAATGGCCGTTCTGCAATGAACTTTTGGAAATTCATTGATGACGGCAGATGATAAAATAGGGCCGACGGTAACTGGAGTTTCCACAGACCCTATTGCTCCCGTGGATAATCACAGTTGCGTATAATAGAGTTGCAAATAAAAACAAATTCTCCACGACAGTTTATGAAATGTGTACAAGGCCAATGATGACAGTCGCAATCTCAGACCTCAGTAACCATCATCATCAACCTCAGATTAGCGCGGTTGGCTTTGTAGGGTGCGAAGGAATTTAAACGTACAACCTTGACCTTTCCACTGCTGGATGAATAACCCCCAAGCACCTAAACTTACTTTGGACCTACAGTGAGGGAAAAAAGTATTTGATCCCCTGCTGATTTTGTACGTTTGCCCACTGACAAAAAAATGATCAGTCTATAATTTTAGTGGTAGGTTTATTTGAACAGTGAGAGACAGAATAACAACAAAAAAATCCAGAAAAACGCATGTCAAAATGTTATAAATTGATTTGCATTTTAATGAGGGAAATAAGTATTTGACCCCTCTGCAAAACATGACAGTACTTGGTGGAAAAACCCTTGTTGGCAATCACAGAGGTCAGACGTTTCTTGTAGTTGGCCACCAGGTTTGCACACATCTCAGGAGGGATTTTGTCCCACTCCTCTTTGCAGATCTTCTCCAAGTCATTAAGGTTTCGAGGCTGACGTGTGGCAACTCGAACCTTCAGCTCCACAGATTTTCGATGGGATTAAGGTCTGGAGACTGACGAGGCCACTCCAGGACCTTAATGTGCTCCTTTGTTGCCTTGGCCGTGTGTTTTGGGTCATTGTCATGCTGGAATACCCATCCACAACCCATTTTCAATGCCCTGGCTGAGGGAAGGAGGTTCTCACCCAAGATTTAACGGTACATGGTCCTGTCCATCGTCCCTTTGATGCGGTAAAGTTGTCCTGTCCCCTTAACAGAAAAACACCCCCAAAGCATAATGTTTCAACCTCCATGTTTGACGGTGGGGATGGTGTTCTTGGGGTCATAGGCAGCATTTCTCCTCCAAACACGGCGAGTTGAGCTGATTCCAAAGAGCTCCATTTTGGTCTCATCTGACCACAACACTTTCACCCAGTTGTCCTCTGAATCATTCAGATGTTCATTGGCAAACTTCAGACGGGCATGTATATGTGCTTTCTTGTTTTCTTGGTGACTATGGTCCCAGCTGCCTTGAGATCATTGACAAGATCCTCCCGTGTAGTTCTGGGCTGATTCCTCACTGTTCTCATGATCATTGCAACTCCACGAGGTGAGATCTTGCATGGAGCCCTAGGCCGAAGGAGATTGACAGTTCATTTGTGTTTCTTCCATTTGCGAATAATCGCACCAACTGTTGTCACCTTCTCACCAAGCTGCTTGGCAATGGTCTTGTAGCCCATTCCAGCCTTGTGTAGGTCTACAATCTTGTCCCTGACATCCTTGGAGAGCTCTTTGGTCTTGGCCATGGTGGAGAGTTTGGAATCTGATTGATTGCTTCTGCGGACAGGTGTCTTTTATACAGGTAACAAGCTGAGATTAGGAGCACTCCCTTTAAGAGTGTGCTCCTAATCTCAGCTCGTTACCTGTATAAAAGACACCTGGGAGCCAGAAATCTTTCTGATTGAGAGGGGGTCAAATACTTATTTCCCTCATTAAAATGCAAATCAATTTATAACATTTTGGACATGCGTTTTTCTGGATTTTTTTGTTGTTATTCTGTCTCTCACTGTTAAAATAAACCTACGATTACAATTATAGACTGATCATTTCTTTGTCAGTGGGGCAAACGTACAAAATCAGCAGGGGATCAAATACTTTTTTTTCCCTCACTGTAATCAGTGAGACGGCTGGCACTGACCACTACGGCCATGACGTCACCGCCACACAAAAACCTCTCAAGCGCGGGGAGGAGCGGGGGAGGGGTGGGCGGAGGGGGAGGGAACAGGGGAGGGGGGAGGGCACAGGGGAGGGAACAGGGGAGGGGGTGAAGGGAACAGGGGAGGGGGGAGGGAACAGGGGAGGGAACAGGGGAGGGGGTGAAGGGAACAGGGGAGGGGAGGGAACAGGGGAGGAGGGAACAGGGGAGGAGGGAACAGGGGAGGAGGGAACAGGGAAGGAGGGAACAGGGGAGGGGGGAGGGAACAGGGGAGGGAACAGGGGAGAGCGGGAGGGAACAGGGGAGGGGGGGAGGGAACAGGGGAGGGGGGAGGGAACAGGGGAGGGGGAGGGCGAGGTCCCCCGCGGATCGCGCTTCCGTTGCCGGGAAATCCCCGCGCTGGACATCCTCGTCCTTTCTGGGAAGTCACGTGGGTCCCCCCCCCCTCCTCCTTCCACACAAACAGCAAGGCTCTCCTATTGGTTCGCGAAGCTTTACAGGCAGCGAGTTCGCTGTTCCCATTGGATTATACGAGAACCCCATTTCACCCCTCACCCCCCCCCCCACAACCGCCCCAACTCCCTCGTGCCATTCGCCGTCAAGCTACGAGAGCGGCGCGCTGATTGGTCGACGGCGTCGTGATTGTGGTCGTGGGAGGGGCTCTCGGTGGTGGTGGGGGGTGGGGGGCTCGCGGGGGTGGTGGGATGGGGGCTCGCGTACAAACACTAGCGCGCCACTGCGCATGCGCACACACACACACGTGTTCGTGACAGCGGTGGTAGGAGGGGGGCGCTGGTGAAGGCGGCGTCACGCTCGACCGCGGCCGAGTGCCGGAATCGTCCGGAGTCCGGAGTCAAGTGTGGGGGGAGCCCCCCTCTCACTCACACTCTCTCTCGCCTGCAGTAGGAGACGCAACAACGGTATGTTCGGCGACGCTTTGCGGCCGCGGATAGATACTCGAGGGTACAAGGGTCGATGTAGGTGACATGGGCTTGGGTCGCGTGTCCGCCACCCCCCTTCCCCACCCCCTCCCGTAGCCAGACGCCTCTGCGCGGTAAACAAACGCTCGGAGGCCCTCCCCCTGCCCTCTCTGCGCACGGCGCTTGCTTAAGCCGAGGCCCTGTGCGACTTCTTTATTTTATTGATGCGGGTTGGGAAGTGACTTGTGGAGAGCGAGAGACGTGCGCTGACACAGGAGGGGGGAGACGGGCTGCTTGCTTGCCTGCCTGCTGGCCTGAGGCACGGCTCCGTGTTCACGCCAGGAGTTGACCTTTCTCAACCCCACCGCCTTCCACCACCACCACCGTCGCTTGACCGCGTACAAAAAAAAGTTGAAGTCCCACTTTTCTGTTTGAGGTGCGCAGCTCCCGTTTGTGCTTGCGGGTGAAGCCTCCACGTTCCCGCGGGGAGCATCGCAGCACGCCTCAAGACGCGGGTCGCAGCTGGTGGTGCCTGCTGAGGGCCCTGCTGATTATTACACCAGGTGAAGCGTAGTCTCAAACATAATGTTGATTTTGCTGACCATGGATGGACGATGGTGACTATGATGTTGACAGTAAATGACGACGATAATGCAGACTATGGGTTTGGGGGCATGAAAAAGAGTTCTGTAGCTCATCGGATTTTTCCAGGATAATTAGAGAATAGTGAATATTAAAATGGTGACGACCGTAAAAATTAAGGTGATTAATATGAGGGTGATGATTCTGTTCTTGGTGAAGATGATAGTGATGATTGAGATGGTGGTGGTGAAACTAGTGACGTTTATGATGCTGGCGTGAAGATAATAGCCGTGATGATTGGGAGAGGTGGGACTAAGTTTGACCTCTGGGCAGGATGTGAACTGTGGATGTGTCCATGAACACTTGTAGGATCTAAGACTGTTCAGCCTGTAGACAACCCATTGTGCTTTCTGAGAGCCTTCAAAGAGTTTGAAGCCGTAGACAAGTGCACGGTTGACCTTGGAGAACGAATATAACTGTTTAACTCCTCTGCTATAGTGGCTGGCGAGCAGGCCGAGTTGTTTGCGTGGAGACAGTTCAATTTTATTAAACTGACGATATAAGAATGTACAACCAAAGTACTGTTTTGTAATCAAGTACATTACATAAGTTGCTTTACACAACTGTGTACTTCTTTGGTTCTTTCGGTAAAGTCACGTAGAATGAGAATAAAATAATAAATTAATAAAATAACAATACAATTCTCACGACGTTTCGGCCACAACACAAGTGGCCTTCATCAGGTGAAGGGACCAGACTGTCTCGAGGAAAGCGCTGGAGCGAACACAGCCAAGCTCCAGCGCTGTCCTCGAGACAGTCTCGTCCCTTCACCTGATGAAGGCCACTTGTGTTGTGGCCAAAACGTCGTGAGAATTTTATTGCGTTATTTTATTAATTTATTAATTTATTCTCATTCTACGTGACTTTACCGAAAGAACCAAAGAAGATGAATCCTTGCAGTCACGAAAGCTTTAAATCGAAATGTGTACTTACTGTCCATGATACCATGCACGTTGAAGAACAATACAAGTTCATGTATGGCTGTCAGAAGTAGGAACACGCTCGAGAGCAATGGTTCTTAACCTTTACTACAGCCTTGCACCGCTTTGGTTCTCAATGCTTAAAAATATATAATGAAAATAAGTACATGGGTTTTGAAACAAAGTAGTTGTATTCTTAGCTCTTTCGGTAAAGTCACGTTGAAGGGAAACAATAAAATAATACAATATATAATACAATAAAAATTCTCACGACGTTTCGACCATAACACAAACGGTCGTCATCAGGTGTGTCGGTTTGCATTAATTTCGTGATAATTTTTTATTGTTTTATATACATTTTATTATTTTATTGTTTCCCTTCAACGTGACTTTACCGAAAGAGCTAAGAATATGAATTACTGCAGTCACGAAAGCTTTAAATCAAAAGTAGTTGTACTTGCATGTCCGTGCTTAATTTGTGTTTCGATGATTTTTCCTTATAAAAACACCTGGCCAAGTCTCGCATCCGCAGAAATGGCATCACGCACCCCCAGGGGGTGCGTGCATCCCAGGTTTAGAGCTACTGCCCTCGAGGATGTCCACTGTGAAGTTGGAGCGATGAGATCCGTAAGAGCGAGATGCAGTTTGGCATCATTGGACCACGAGTGTTGGCAACGACGTTGGCCTTTGTCCACCTGTAAGGTAGAGCATGGCTTATGCTGATCATGGTGACAGTTTTCACGTCTCCCTTATTCGGGGAATTATCTACATTATTCCACATGCTGTTAATGCAAAACATTGTTGTAGCCAATGAGTCATGGCCTCCAGCCTAAAAAAATATATCATAGTTCTATAATTAGCACATTTCAGTTTCCCTTACTGTTTTAGGCCAGGTCGTAATACAATTGTACTTCTATCTGACCAATAACGTATCCATATCTTTGGATATGATTGAATCGCTTCCCAATTAGTGTACAAGATAAGTTGAGCTGGACTTATCTCGTGCATTATTCAAAAAGTTACGTTCAATGCTGAATGTTGTGCAGGATAATACTTAAATTATGAACGAATAACCACAATGTACAGTTTGCCCAATTTTGCTTCTGTATGCCATCGTGGTAAACATTCTGACCAGCAACCGCCAAGATCATTCATCATTACCCGCAGTTCCTGTTACAGCATTACTAAAGATTTTGATCGTGCGCTGAAATGAGTGCATCAAGGAGAAGTCTTCAAATAATTCTGAGACCACAGACCCCGCCTCTACCTTAGACCGCCGCATAATCATTCGCTGGTCTAGGTGTAAAATGCATTTGTTATGGTCTTGAATTCACGAAGTGGTTGGTTATTGTTGAGCACTTTCTCAACCCCTTAATGCACATCACTTCTTAAAGTTCTCTAAATGTTTTAATTATTCCTAACTTCCCTGCAAATGTGATCAAAATGCATTGAGTCTTATACAAAAGAATCCAATTCACAATAGTTATTTACATACAGTACTGTAATGTCCCATTGTTGAAGTCCGTTCTTTCAGGGAGGTTATTATTTTTTGGAGAAAATTGATCGTCATAGGTATTCCAGATGTCCTCAGTTGCTCTTGTGCTTATACAAGATACTTAAGAGAGGATGCTGTATACAGTAGTGAAATAAAGTTGCAGCCCTGCAAATTCTTTGTTTCACCTCTGCTGGCCGAAGGGTCTCCACTTAAATAATGGCCCTTTAGTGGCTAGTTTGTCTGAATAGTCCATGCTTTCTGAACGTCTTGAAAGAGGTGCGGTTACCCACACTTTACCCCACCACACGTGTCCTGCCGATCGACTAACTTTTGGTGTGTTAATTTATGCTTCTGGGTGAATGGAGGCCAAAGTGTTGTTGAATGGGTTGGTCACCAGATCGCAAATTTAGAGTGCTAATAATGACACCACGGCAGCTTATAATAAGTCGCAAAACTATTCCTGTATACTCTACTAAATGACTTTACAGGAAGTTGTAGAACATGTTTGCCTCAAACATAACCCTTGGGTTATTGGTTAAATCTAGGAATAGTGGTGCCGTGTGGCCGGTCAGCTGGACAGCATGTGTTGGTGTAAAGTGTTGATTGTCATGGGTTAAACATGCAAAGTTTACATTGTGAGCTATTGAATTTCCAAAATTATTTAACTATGAATTCGTGTATTGTCGATCTAAGCCGTTTTAGTAAATCAGGCAATTTATATTACACAGTTAATGTGCTCAGTTCATATTAGTATGTAGAGATGATATGTGTACACATCTGCATTAGCCGCTCTGTGAGTGGGCTGTCCATATGTACATGTTTGGGTAATCCAAATGCTGGATGAGGGCCTCTTCACAGCGTGAGGCTTATTTGACCATACCTTGCCATGCTTGCCAATACGGGTTGGTGAACGTTGGGAGCAAAGACATTTGAGCATCGTATAGGATAACGATAGATTTTCCTGACCTGCCATTTGCTGACACTGTTGCCCCGTAGTTGCCTGTGACACCTGTTTTGGTTGATGGTGGTCACCCATCCAAACACTGTACAGGCTCCGCCTGCTTAGCCTCTGAGATGAGGTTGGATGTATTCTGGATGGTTTGGTGAAAGGCCAACAGATGGTACATCATTGCAATGTGTGTTTTCGGTTAAAAATTACAGATATGCGAGTTTGAATGTATTACATATATTGGAAATATAATCCCTCCCACAAATCTCGTGTTTGATAAGGGTAAACGTGCAAATTATGGCCTTGTTTATGTTTCGCGTGAATGGCATTGCATGCCATATTTATTTAATTATTAATCGATTATGCAAGAGAAGTTGGCTCCAAGAATCTTAACCTTATGAACTCTGACACACATTAGCCGAGGCCTTTTTTTTAGCATGGCAGCCAACGGAGGAAATGTTTGTATTGTTGCAAGACGAGACAAGCTGTTCCAGTCATCGTGACACATGCTTTAGTGCAATTTAATGTTTACTTGGTTATGGATATGTATTTCACACTGCTATTGTTGTTACGTGCTCGGTATTGTACTATGTTCTAGGGGAGGTTTTGTTTACGATCAAAAATTTTAATGGGAAACAGACCCGTACTGGAGCTACAGTAAATCAGTTGGAGAGTGCCACTTATATTGAATTTTTTCCCTAAGTTGGAGATACAATTGATTAATGCTTTTGTCTCATAGTCACAGTGTCAGTCAAGAAAATTGTACTGAAATAAGTGCTACATTTGATCAACGTAAGGTGACAATGGCGTGCCGGTTTTAGTGTCAATTAGCTCGTATGTCAATGTTAGAGGAATTTTTGGGTTTTGTGTGGTTTGAACATTTGAAAGATTCACGTGTTTCGTGGGGGACCATTTAAGGCTGGAGGATCACTCAGTGCTCTTCGTCATTAGTGCCTTTATTGTATCGACCTTCGGGTATACAATAACAGTAAATACATACACTGTAAAATGGTTTCACTTCAGCAATTCTTTTTATGGTCTCCAGAGTTTGGAGATATACAGTATACTTGTGTTTCGATCCCGACCGAGACACAAGTATACTGTATTTGGAGTTTGTAGGTTCTACCCATGGTCACGTGAACATTTTCCCCTGGTCCTCCGGTTTTGCCCTCCACAATTATGAATGTGCGTTTAGATTATTTGGCTGCTTCTACATATTCCAACCTTCGATGATAAGCCACTTTAACGTGAAATCTTGTGTGGCCAGATCACCTCTGAAAAAAACGTATAGCTCATTTGGGCTTTACCTAGTAGATAAAATAGAAAAATTAACGTAGCCCAGCAATCAGACATTTGACAGCTGTTTTTTAAACGTTGAGTCTGCAGGATCGAAACATCCAAACTGATTGTGCATGCAGAGTACATACATTAATTTATTAGCAGCATAAGGTTGTCATTATGTGTAGAGTGGGTTTGGCAAATGTAGGTGTGTATATGTGTGTGTGTGTGGGGTGGAGATTGATATCAGCTTCAGATCTGAAGGGCAATTATGAATGTTGTGTAAGAAAGCATGAGTTTGGCTGCCCTGGTGTGTGAGAATAGAGTTTGTGTGGGAGTGAACGAGTGTTTATCCATCTGAAAGGTCAGTGTTTGTATGTTGAACTTCTTTCGCACTGCATGTAGCCAACCTTGCTAATCAGAGGTGCAGGGAAAGGATAACAAACTAAATACAAATCAGTTTTATAAGAAATTAATTCTTGATTTAAAAGTGCATAGCTCAAGTGGCTTCCTTATAATATCTGCAGAAAGAGCGTTCCAGACGGCCACAGAAGCGCATCTGAAAGCACGCGATACAGTGACCATCTTTGTTCAATGGTTAGCCAAAAGCCACTGCGAGGGTGACCAGAGTTTGTGTGATGGTCTATGCTCCTTGATGAGATCAGCAAGATATTGAGGTTCATTTGTGTTAAGCATTTTGTGTATAATGAGTGCGAAGGTGAAAAGTATTAAAGTAAATTTGCAAATGCATATGGCTGGTACGAGTTGATCTCCCTTAAATGGTGTAGCAAGTGGCATTAGCAGCTCTCTGAGTGGTCTAACTATATTCTGGACAACTGGGGATTGCTTGTTGCTTCAATTTACATTTTAACGTTACCCACTTCTATGGGATACTTGTGCGAAGCTCATTTGCATTTTAACATTTTGCCCAAAGAAACAGTCAAGGACCAAAGTTTTATGTTTTGAGATTTAAAAAACTGTTATTTATAAGTTTGGCTCAAGAATTGTGCTGTCGTGTTAACAATGAATAATGATGATCGACAACCTTTTGCAAATCCACTGCTGATAAAGGCTTCCTCATGCCGTGTCCCTCGTGGTTTTTTTTACACCATACTTCACCATTCTCGTCACTGTGGGTTGGTGGAGCCAGTTCAGATACCACTCGTTTTAGTCACGGCGCATCGAACCAGCGCGCCTCCATTTCGCCCTTGTTCATAATGTGTCTTGAAAAATTGCTACATTCGTGGTGTTGCTGCTCATATTTTGCCTCTGCCATTTTGTCACTCCATATTGTTTAAGTTGTGTTTTGCCCACAGGTTATGCATTGGATGGTCTACAAACCACTGTACATTACTTACATTGCTACACATTTTCGAGAACCTTGATGGCATCCCAAGTTTTAACATTCCAAAAAGCCCTGCCTTTTCAGAGATGGTCTTGGTTAGCCTGCTATTTACACAATACAGTGCTTTGGTCACAATGTGCCAGCATTGCCATGAAGATCAGTGCAAAATCACCCATGTGCTTACATACCTTTCACATGTCCAAGTGACTTTTAAGTGTTTTTAGTATTCAAATCTTTCACTCAACACCATGCATATCACAAGATTATCATCCTAACAAATAATTTTCAGCATGTTACAATGCTGAATGGGACCAGTCAAATTCTACACAGTTGACCATGTGCTTACTGTGTCTTTTCTATGCATTTTGTATGAACACTTTGAAATTGTATGTCTTACACAAGTTTGAAAGTAAACAAGGTAGTTTCTGGCAGCCTCGCTTACAAAAGATGAGCGCTCGCTTCCGAGAATATAATTTCGTATATATTGGATCCCTCTTTTTTCCAGCCATATCCTATGTGTGTCGCAAGAGGAAAAGGATATTCGGGAGACGGGAAATTTATTAAAATTCCATGCCTCTATAGAGTTAAACCATTTTTTTTCAGGCAAGACAAACTTCATTGTACATGGAATGTATGTGATACTCGAATTCTTGTAGATGGGATCATTGCATCACTAAAACTGACAGTTGTCTTGGAGTACGAGACCCCACTCATGGTTAAATCCAACTTTGTATAAATTATTGTCAAAAAGTGAACGTTGGCTGAGACGTATATAAATTATAGGAATGAACGTTTTTCAACTTGAGCAATAAACACATGGGCAAGTGTAAAGAAACACTCATAAGTGTCAGTCATGTGCACACATGTAACTGATTTATATTCCTAATATTCTGCAATAATCTTGCATATAGTACAGCTGGAAATCGCAGCTTGGTTGATAACCGCACAATAATTGGGAATTACTTGGTCCAGCGGTAGCGTATTTGCCGCTTGTTGCAGAGGTTGGTGGTTTGAATATGGCAGGCCACCTTGGTTATTACTGTGGGTGCATAACTGTAAAATGTGTCTTCTCCTTCACAGTGAATGTCACTTATCTCCTGACATTCGAAATGAGTAAGCCATTGTCTGCTGGCGTCATTGTCCAAATTTGCCAAATTGGAAAAATTACTTGAATATGACTAAATTGGGATTGCACATAGTAATTGCCCCCCGGCTACTCAAAGACTAATGTCTACTTACATTTCAGGTGCCTCGTCCCCTTGTGCCTCACAGGGAGAGCTGCCAAGCAGGGTGCCCTTCGAACGTTTAAGATGTGATTGCAAGTTGCTTATCACGTGTAAAGTGCCCTTGAGATACCACAGTATGAAGAGCACGATATCAAAAACAAATAGTGATTGTTAATGTCCATGGGATGCTGATTACCTCTGGGTGATCACAAAAAAGTAAAATATATCGGTGGCTTTTGGGTCTTGATTTTGGTTAATATTTTTATGGTTTCATTTTGGAAAATTTAGAGACAAAAACATAATTTTGGATTTCATTTTTTCGTTTTTAACACCCCGACTAAAAATTTAATATATATAATATACAGTATCATTAGACATGATGAATTTCATGAGTATGAGCCTTCAAATCACTCATAAAAATGCACACAAGGGATTTTTTTTTATTTCTCAGAAGAAATAATTGTAATATATTAGCTGATGGGATTTTACAGATGAATGTTTAGCTGTAGCATTTTATTAAATAAGCCAGCCTTGGATGAATTTATATTTTCAAAAGCATGCACTGAATAGTAGACTGATTTAAAGATAAAAATACATTTTCAAAGGCTGTGCGGCCCAGATATCGAGTTGACCTCGTGCAGGATTTCCCAAACTCCAGTCCTCGCAACCCACCACACTATGTCTTTCCATATTTACCAATTTACTTCCCATTAAAAGACATCTTAAGTTGTTCCACACTGCACGCGCCTAATAATTATTAAACACATCCCACGTGACGCGATAAGCAATTAACGCTGTCTGCATCATATGGAATTTGGTGCACACACACTGAGATCTCAATATTAATGTGAATCGGCTGTATTAACGCAGACGTCATTAATTACTTAGCGCATCACGTGGGACGTGTTTAACAGTCATCGGGCTTATGCAGCGTGGAACATATAAATTTGTATTTGAATGGGGAGTACATTTGTAAATGTGGAAAGATGTAGCTTGGTGGATCTTGAGGACTCGAGTTTGGGAAACCCTGGCTTAGTGTATAGCAAATGGTCCCTTGTAAAACTCATCATAATGTTCAAAACATTGTATGTGGTCACCATCCTATCGACTACTAGGAAGAAACATCTCACATGTCATGTGTTTTTGTAATGTTTATCGTTTTAGCTTAAATGTGTTACACATTCCAGGAACTAAAAAGGGTATATTTGTGGCTGACTGAAGCCCTGACTGAACTCCTATGGCTTCATCACAGATGTCCATCTACTTATTGTATCATAGGCACGCATACTGTAAACATTGTTACAAGTGTGTATTGTGCTTGAACTAATTATCAAAGAACTACAAACTAAAGTGCATACATATAAGTACCAATCTCACAATGGTCATACAATCAAGGTAAATAAATGGAACAAGGGCATTGTTTGCTTTTACCTAAATTATGAGGTTGAATTAACATCTTAGTAACTTCAGAGATGCATGATATTTACTTTGGTTCAGACTCCAGAAACTCAATTGAAGCTGCACCTTTGGGATATTTTATTGTTTCATTACCATCAAGCCCATTTATGGCTCTATCTTTGGATATGAGAACGTATATGACTGATGTACAACTGCACTCGAGATCCAGTGATTTAGGTTTAATTCCACATTTTTTTCTGTTAGTTCTAATGTGGACGTGCCCTCATTGTGTGTCTCCTGGTCTATGATGTGCTCACCACCACTCCTCCACATGTGCTATGCCAGCTAGAATAGTGGCACATTAGCCCTGCTTGTGAGATTAAAATAGGTTGTCTGTTTGCGTGGATGCATGCTTAGTGGAGCAAGGATGGCGCAGTGGGCACAGCTGCAGCAGCTGGACACCAAGTTTCTGGAGCAAGTGGATGAGCTATACAATGACAGCTTCCCCATGGAAGTCCGCCAGTTCCTCGCTCACTGGATTGAGAGCCACGACTGGTGGGTGAACACTCACACCAGTGACATGTAAATGTACATGCATGATTAACTTGGTGCCTGGGTGTGGAATATTGTTTCTGTAAAAGTGACTCCTAATTCCTTTTATGCTGTGCGCAGGAACCATGCATCCAACAATGTTTCCCAGGCCACACTGCTGTTCCACAACCTGCTCACTCAACTGGACGACCAGTACAGCCGCTTCACGCAGGAGAACAACTTCCTATTGCAGCACAATTTGCGCAAAATTAAGCAGAATCTGCAGGTAGGTGGAGTGCAATTCTGGACAATGATGTATGTACACTTATTCGGGGCATGGAGGGAATTAAGGTAGGGCTTTTGAACCTTCTATGGATTTGGTGTTAAGCATTGACTAGAATATTAAGACCACGGGGATTGCAGCGGGGTGAAGTCAGGGGGGAGACATGCATAAAAGGGCTTGTCCACCCATAGCCCTGTTACATTTACTGAGAGTAGTTTGTGTTTTTTTACTGTGCAATATTGAATGGCAAGGCTCAGTGGAAATGTCAGGGTGCGTCAACTTGCCTATAATGCATAATTGTGCTCCTCGGCAAAGCATTTATTTGAATAATGTATTTACCAAAACCATTCTTACCACAATTACCAACAGTGGATGAAGGCCTCACCAAACTTCACCATCTCTCACACTTGTGAGATGCAAAAATGTGTCCAGGGTCCTGTACTCGAGATGTCTCGTTCCAACGCCATGGTGGACATCCTCAATGGGTGCGTTCCCTCTTTTGGCTGTCACTCCATCATTAGTCTTGACGGTCAGCCTTCATCCCTTCTAACAATGTGTCCTGCTCGGCCTCAATGACTTTTTTTAAGTCAATGTGATAACTTGCATATGTTATCTGATTCCCATGTTATTTTTTTCGTCTCTCATTGTAATTCAAAGCATGCACCTTTTTACGATTCTTTGCACAATTGTTAGCTTTTGTTCCATTTTCTTTGTAAATGTCCATGTTTCTGATGCACATGCCATAGCAGCAGATTCGCACTGATTAATAACTTATTTTTCTAGGCACATTAGGTTTATTTGCATTATTAAGTTCAGTTTTCCAACGGCAGCCCAACCTGGTCTCATCCGCCTCTTTATTTTATCAATTTGACCCTGATCTACTGTTAATAAGATATACACTGATGTTTTATCAGGTGTTCCTCCCAACAGATTGCTTCAATTGTTCATCAAACTTGTTGTATATGACTTTTGTTTTGCTCATATTTATATTGAGCCCAGTTTATAGCTTTCTTTATTCATTTCTGAAATAAGTTAATGTCCATTGGTTGTTATAATGACTAAATCAACAGCAAATCTGAGATCCTTCAATATCTTCTTATTTTATGTTTATGCGTTTATCGTCTAAAACCGATGAAAATGCATACCTACAACCAGGTAGGACAGGCATTTTAATGTTCAATAATAATATGCTTCTGCAGACTAAAGCTATCTCATTCTCCCTCTTTATAACCCCATAGGCGCACTATTTGGAAGACCCACTCCAGATGGCTCTTATCATCTCCAATTGCCTGGCAGAGGAGTTGAAGATCTTGAGCAGTGCCCGCAACATTGAGCAAGTATGGCCAGAAACACTGACGTGCAGGACGCATACCTCATTTGTACCAGCCGTGATTAAATTTTGATTTAAAGCTTTCGTGACTGCAGGAATTCATATTCCTGGTTCTTTCGGTAAAGTCACCACGTAGAAGGGAAACAATAAAAAAATAAAAATATAAAACAATAAAATTCTCACGACGTTTCGACTGCAACACAAGCAATCATCATCAGGTGTGAAAACCACAGCAAGAAAATTTGAAAAAAAAACGCCACTTTTTTCAAATTTTATTGATGTGGTCTTCACACCTGATGATGATTGCTTGTGTTGCAGTCGAAACGTTGTGAGAATTTTATTGTTTTATTTTTTTATTGTTTCCCTTCTACATAACTTTACCGAAAGAACCAAGAATGTGATTAAATCTGTTTGTTTAGTACAGGTTTTGGATTTGTATTTTTAGTAGCAACAGAAAGAGTTAGGGGTTACACAACAACAGGTTGAATTTGTAGCTACTTCAAGCACAAATTAGTAAATTTGGCCTAGACCAAATATCTCACTTTTCAGTACTAACCAGAGGTAGGAAAATGATAGTGGTACCAATTTCTTTACATTCATAACGAAGGCAAATAAATTTTGATTTAAAGCTTTCGTGACTGCAGTGATTCATATTCTTGGTTCTTTCGGTAAAGTCACGTTGAAGGGAAACAATAAAATAATTAGATATTTTTTTGAATGCGTGTGTGATGACATCATCGATGGCACTAAAGTTTTACCACTTCAGGTTATGCCAAATAATGCTCTGTCCCTTGAACTTTATCTGGTAACTGGGTGACAATTTGTGCATCGACATTTGGAGATCCATACATTGGTCTTTTGCAGGCCTATTTGGTCATGCAGTACTCACAGCCTGCTATATATATTTAGTTGTATTGACATACCTCATTTGTTATTTATTTGTGAAGACTACGTAGCTATTACAATGTTCCACTGTGCCCTAAAAGCTAAACGCCCTTTTTATAATTAAAGCATTTAATAAAATTGGTACATTAACAACACCGTGGACTTTGTTAGAGTGCAAGTTGTATCATTCGTTCTTTATCGATCACGCTTGAAACATAACCCCTGATTTGAAGTTTTCGTGACTGCAGGGATCCATACTCTTTGCTTCTTTCGGTAAAGTCACGTAGGTAGAAATAATAAAATAAATGTAATTTGCATTTAATCACTAACTTATTTTATTGTTTATGCCTACGTGACTTTACCAAAAGAACCAAAGAGCATAACCCCCTGATCTCTTGTCCATATGACATGTCAGATGGGTGGCATGGTGAGACATGAACATATGGAAATTCCCAGCAAGGTGAAGCACCTCGAGAGCAACATGAACGAGATGCGCAAGCGTGTGCAGGTAAGCCAGGCATTTGGCACTTTGCTTATGTGCGCCCCCGAACGCCGTGGAGTGTGCTAGTCAAATAAAACAATGATGCATCTGAAACTTAAAATGACATTGTACACACGTGTGCCAATTACAATAACCCATTTGTCTATATTACGTGTTTAGTTAAATCTATTTACTTAAACAAACCAATTTTTTTTTAGTGGGACCTTTTTGCCAGTATCAAAGGATAAAAAAATAAGAATAGGTTTTACCCTTAATGGCAATAAAATTGGTGTTAAGAGGTTCAAACACCAGTTTTACCCAGAAAGGGTAAAACCTATTCTTATTTTTGTATACTGTGATACTGGCAAAAAGGTCCCATTTTGTAGCTGCTAACCCCGAGCCATAAATGCTCTGATAGTGGCATTATCTTTGTTCTGTTCACTTTTGGCATTCTCAGGTCTGACTAGGCCCTAAAGAAGGCTGTCTCTGGTGTAGGCCAATCAGTTTCAAGGAAAATGCATATATTAGAGCATGTTTGTTTGCATGTTCACCACAAGTACGTGTGGTTAATGCAGACAATATTCCTTGCAAAAGGTTTATATTTGTTGTTTGAACACCAAATATAAACCTGTTTTATTGCCAGAAAGGGTAAAACCTGTTCTTATTTTTTCATACGAAAAAAGCAATATCCTTATACTCAAATGAGTGGTCATCTTCGTTGATGGCCCTAAGTCATAGATTAAAATTCCACATTCTTATCGCAGTAACTAGTGTCTCCATACAATGACTGTTGACCACCACAAAGTGTTATCCATGTTTTCTGAATGGTCCCCTGATAATTTTAACCGGACATGCATGCTCACCACTGCCGGTCTCGGTGTGCATATTTGTGTTTGATAGACTATGGAGCAGGAGATCAAGAATCTTGAGGACTTTCAGGATGACTTTGATTTCAAGTTTAAGACCATGCAAAATGGAGGTGGGCCTCTTATCATGCCGTATCTCATGTACAAACATTGCCCTTACCCTCCTGCACAAATGGCTTGCACTGATTCAGATACTTAGGACATCCATGCACTTAGTGCGATGCCCACACACGTGTGTGCTGACAGTGGTGGCTATGTTGTGTACGCGCAGAGACCATGGACGTCAACGGACACCGCAATCAGGAAATGAAGCAGCTGCAGCAGATCTTGGTGGATCTGGACCAGCGCAGACAGGTGCGAACTCGGCATGGGCACCGTCTTGTACTGCTCACACATGGTGGTACAGCCACCCGTCGGAAAGCATGTCACAGCTGTGTACCGTACTACCAGCTCCGAATCAAACCAGAAAATTTAGGCAGTGTGATTTGATTCTTCCCCAGAGAGCTTACAGGCCTGTGAGTCCACAAGTAAACACCTTTGCTCCAGCTACTTATCGTGTGTCCATTGGGTGTTTATTTTAACAACAGTTGGGTGAAAGTGTTGCGTTTTAACGATGTTAGTGGCGCACTACCCCTTACGCCCACAAAAACCCATTTGGCTGTTTATCAAAGGCTTCCTGGAGTTTACTGAGGAAGCATGGGGGTTCTGTGACAGCAGAGTGTTGATAACGTTGGTAAACAGCTTTGCTGCGCGAGTTTACGGGCGGCTGTTCACAACGCTTGCCCTTTTTGTGGCTACACACAGCGTTTCCTGAAGAGCACGGGCGAGCTGCTGGGCCTCATGGAGTCGCTGCACATTGCCGTGCTCAACGATGAACTGAAGGAGTGGAAACAACGCCAGCAGATCGCCTGCATTGGCGGTCCTCCCAACACCTGCCTGGATCAATTGCAGAGCTGGTTAGCATCTATACCCACTCCCTCGGAACTGTGTTTGAACACAACAAAGAACCCCCATAAAGCCTTCAGACTTTTGGTGCAAGTGCTATTAGCGAACACCTATTGAACGCACACGAGGGGATGGGTGGCCAGCACCATGCCGTGCTGCCTTTGTCTCCGCAGTGGCAAGGTTACAAACTGCACCAGGTACTCACTTGAGGCTGAGGCGACCTAGGGGAGGCCCAAGACCAGTTCAGATAACCGTCACTGGTATTGGTCGTGAGCGGGAATCGAACTCGGGTCGCCAAGTTCATCGGGCAGCATGCTAACTGCTACACTGCCTCTCCCCACATTTATATACACACGTGTTCATAAATATATAGACACACATGTGTTCATATATAGACACACATGTGTTCATATATATAGACACACATGTGTTTTTCAATCCAGTTATATTTATCCTTCTTATGAAGAGAGATGCTTCCATTGACACTGCTCTCATGGATGGGTTTTAATTAATTTACTGCATCACTTTGGTGGAGACCTACAATGAATGATGTTACATGTTATGATGAATATTTTAATTGTGTAGAGGTCTTCATGGTTTTATATTTGGTATCCTACCATAAATAAATTATGATTTAACTACAAGATGCAGCAGTTCATATTCATACATTTTCCATATGCATGTAATTACAATCCTTGTCAGTTTGTGTTTGGTTTTATCTAAGCTGCTTAACTTGTAACTAGTACTGTGTAAATGGCATTTTGTTGATTAGGGCTTGGGTAAAAACATTGTTTTGTCAAAACATTTAATTTAAAAAACCGGTATGGCCCAAATATCCCAGTGCTGAAAAGTTATCTGCAAATTACTTAATTTGTGCAAAAACTTGGCAGGTTCCTCCTAACAAGACTTTTGACTTCCTGAGGCTTTCGTGGGCAAACAAGCGTGATAATTACGATCAAATAAACAACCCAGTAACCTTGGTATTTTTCTTTTGAGCACTGTATGAAATGTCACATTGTTATTTATCACAATTTCCATGACATTGACAAACGTGTAAGCGAGTGGGTTCGAAGTCTGTGCTTCCGGCGGCGGAGGCTGTTGTTTAGAAACGTAGTGGTTTGTAACGGCTCGCCACCAAGGTAGGGGGATATGCTGTTTTGGCTCAGGAGGCACGACCGCGTTTGCAGGGGCGAGCAGCGATAGTGCCCTGCTGCGTGCTGTGTGTGGGCGGTCGCTTGCCACGTAATACGTGCCATGACGCTGCTGCGCTGGGGCCAGCCCCGAACGGCGGCCACCCCAAATGTTCCGTGGCGCACAAACATTTCCACGTGACTAAGCGGCTGGCGTGGGGAGATCGCGCCCCGTCATGATAGCCATCTTTTACCGCAGACTGGTGAAATAGCCACGGCCAATGTCTGAAAAAAGCATATACATTTATTTTCTCATTGCAGCTTGGGATAAGAAACTTTAACCTTCGTTTTAATGAGGGAAATGCCCAACGAGGTAGCTTTTCTCCAGTTGAACAATGTGGTTACATAGCATAAATATTTTGTTTATGCAAAACAGATATGCAAAATAATGTGTATATTGATGAATTGTTTAATACCTGAATTAGAATACCAAAGACATATAACATGTAAAAACACATCTTAAAAATGTATTTCTTTCAATATTTTTTAAGTACTACATTCCAAACTAATACATTGGAAAAATGTCAACCTCTTTGAGTTACTCTTCTTTTTGTTTCAGTAAAGGTGGTAGGTGAAAATGTGTTCTTTATACTTAGCTCTTTCAAATTAACTGGGCAGTTGTGCTCTCTGATATTGATATGAATATAATTATCTTCCATAAATATTTTAATACAGCCTTACCTGCAGATATCGGGTATGTAATTTTACACCTTTGCCACTTCCACTTGTCTAAGTCAAAGGGTATGAAATTCGGTATACTGATTTCTGATATATGTAAATGGGTTTGCGCTGCAGCTGTCAAGATACCATGCTCCCGATCCTCTTCTGCCCACCCACCAGGTGTACCTCCCTGTCAGAGGGCCTGCTGCAGGTGCGGCAGCACCTCAAAAAGCTGGACGAGCTGCAGCAGAAGGTGTCTTACAGCGGAGACCCCATCCCCGCCATGCGGCCCGTGCTGGAAGAGAAGACCAACGAACTCTTCATCACGCTCGTCAAGAGGTGCGTACTCGGGACGGAAGCCTGGGCAGGCAGATTGGAATGAAGGCACAGCGCAGTAGATGAGACGATTGACAGACCTCATGGTTGGATTGAGGCATCAAGGGGCCCTGGTACACAGTACGGTTTCGAGTCTCAGAGTGGGCTGAATAGGCGATGGGGATAGAAAGTATGATGCCATTCTTCATAGGGGCCGCCCCAAAAACAAGCACCGGGTACACTGCAACTGTTACTTTAACGTTAGGAAGACTCGGTAATGCCTTAATACGGGCCCTACCAGTCAAGGGCATCTTTCCATCTGTGGCACCTGGCTCAAGCACCGAGACTGCACCTCTGTCAGATAAAAGCGTTTGCCATAGTCTGTCACCAGGGAGAGAATTTGCGGGCAAGGCACGAGGGCATGCTGTCAGGCTTTATTGGTGACCACGTTGGTGTCGACTGTTCATGTTGAAGGTGCACTCCGCCTTGTCAATGGAATGTGTGCAGCTCTTTTGTGGTGGAGCGCCAGCCGTGCATGCCGACTCACCCACAGCGGCCACTTGTGCTCAAGACAGGAGTGCAGTTCACCGTGAAGCTGCGGTGAGCCCCTGCACACTATATCCGTAGTGTTGGGACTCGCCCCACTCCTCATCACTGTGGTAACTCGCACCCATTTGAGCAACAGTGTAAAAAGAAAACCCAATGTTAATTAACATTTCAATGAGTTCATACAAATTACGATAGGAGAGTAACGCATTTTATCTTATTCTGTAAGAGAGAGCTGTGCTACTTACTGTGTGCATGATTTAAAATTGCTTAGAAGCGATAATGGTTTGTTATGTAGGAAAGCCTCATTGAGTGTTTGGCCTTTTTATGGAAAGTTCCGTTTCTTCATCATTAGACCTCCTTTGCCAGTACAAAAATGTAATAATAGGGTGTTTCCCCTTTTTTCTGGCAACAAAACTGAAACCTTTTTACAAGGATTCACGTCTGCATTAACCACAATACCTGCAGTCAAAATGCAAACAAAAAACATACTATGATAATATATGCATTGTCCTTGAGACTGATTGGTCCACACCAAGGGACGACTTTCTTTTGAGCCTCGACCCAATTGGTGCTCGACCAGATGACGTCAATTGATGCTCGTCATCTGGTCGAGCACCAATTGGGTCGAGGCTCAAAAGAAAGCTGTCCCTTGATGTGGACCAATCAGTTTCAAGGACAATGCATATATTATCATAGTATAAATTTCGATTTAAAGCTTTCGTGACTGCAAGGATTCATCTTCTTTGGTTCTTTCGGTAAAGTCACGTAGAATGAGAATAAAATAATAAATTGACTGTCTGAAGGACAGCACTCCAGCGCTGTCCTCCAGACAGTCTCGTCCCTTCACCTGATGAAGGCCGCTTGTGTTGTGGCCGAAACATCGTGAGAATATTATTGTGTTATTTTATCAATTTATTATTTTATCATAGTATGTTTTTTGTTTGCATTTTGACTGCAGGTATTGTTGTTAATGCAGACATGAATCCTTGTAAAAAGGTTTCAATTTTGTTGCCAGAAAAAAAGGGGGAAACCATATTATTCCGTTTCTTCGTTCGTGTCTTCCCCATGTACAAATAAACCAGAGCACCTAGAGATAACCTATGTGCTTGCCACAGTTGAACCACAATACCTTGCTGGTCTTGTCAAGGAGCATAGACCATCGCACGAACTACGGTCATTCTCACAGTGACTTTTGACGAGCCATCGAACAAAGACGGTCACTGCACCGAGTGCTTTCAAATGTGCTTCTGCGGCCTTCTGGAATGCTCTTCCATCTGATATTATGAAGCCACCGGAGCTATTCACTTTTAAATCTAGATTGAAAACTAATTTCTTTAGAATGTCTTTTTGTTTAGTTTTTTTTTCCTTCCACCGCACCTCCGATTAGCATGGTTGGGCTACGTACAGTGCGAAAGAAGTTCAGCATACATACAAAAGGGATAACACTAAAATCTCCATGGATGTTTCACACCCCCACTTGCTATACTGCCACGCTTTGGCCACATTGCAACCCAGCAGGTTGGGTGTATCACAGCAGATACAGAAATCTACATGGTCGGCCTACCACACCTGCTGGGCATTGAATTACAAACATGCTCCTCCGTTCTTGGAGAAGGTTATATTTTAGGGAGAGTTTTGAGCAGCGGCTGTGTTGCAGGTTGCTGGTCAAGCTTGTGGAGCTCAACTACCAGCTCAAGGTGAAGGCCGTCATCGACAGGTACCGCTCGCGGGCAGTCTTCTCGTACTGCCGGCTGTCTACGCTACCTTGCATAATCTTGTCTTTTAACGTGAAAATAAGAGTGTAACGGGTTTTGTTTTGCTATTGCAGGGACGTGGACAGGCCTCCGATTAAAGGGTAAGAGCAGTGAGGATGAGTGTTTCTGGGTGCGCTTGCTATTGCCGAACTGTCAACTTGTGTGACTGGAAGTGCATGCTCAATTTATGACGCTTGCCGCACAAGATTCATGGAAACTATTCATGCGGTCTTCATTTATTTGTTACCAGTCTTCATATTGGCAGGACCATCCCGAAAAAGAGTTTTGAGACTCAGTACAGATTTCCTGTATGAACAAGCATGAATAAAATAACATTTGTTGGGCTGACTTGAACATCGTCTTGGTGATTTTTGCAACATAAGTGGACAGCAGTGTTGAAGCAAAGGCTATACAATTTGACATTATTGATGACTGTAAATATCCTTGTACATTAAGAGTAAAACTGTCAAACATTTTAAGTAAATTTGCTTGGGACATTCACTTGAAATACGCCTAAAATTCATGAAGGCACCCTCTTTTTTGGGAATACATTTTCACTTTTTGTTTCGTTCTAACTTCCTCTGGTCACCACCCTGAACCTCTTTCACAGCTGCCGGAAGTTTAACATCCTCGGCACAAACACCAAAGTGATGAATATGGAGGAGTCCAACAATGGCAGCCTGTCTGTGGAATTCCGACACCTGGTATGGGGGGGGGCTGAGTGGGAGGCACTTAATATACACACAGGCGGGCACTTGCCCCAATGAGACTGTAAAGGTTGCAAACTGTTCTAATTAAATTATTTCGCTTGTGATCCGCAGCAGCTGAAGGAACAGAAGTCTTCGGCTGGTGGTCGCACCAATGAGGTGAAATTTAGTGTAGGTGGTAGTCGCTTCATTGCGCTCAGGTTAACACAGATGATGGCGATTGTACGCCTCGTTTATGGGGAAGATGAAGCCTTGTGTGCGGGGCACATTAATATTATTGATTTTTTTTTGGTTCCCTTTTCGCAGCGTGCGCACTGAGCGAGGGATGTATAATTTCTTACAATGCCTTACAAAATTCCGGAAACCCTAAATGCATTTCATCACGATTAATTTCCTCCTGCATCCCCAGAACCCGGTTTCCTCTACTAATCCATCCATTTTCAAATGGGAACAACTCCTCTTTTTCAGAAAAGGTTGAAACAATCAGGAAATGAGTTCTCGTGTCTGGCTCTGCTTCTCTGGCTTCCTGTCCTGCTACCTCCTCACCATTTCTTCATGACATCCCCTGGCCTGTCACCCCAATGGAGATTACTACCATCAGTTCTAGACTAAAAGCATCTTTTGTGCCCCATAATCTGCATGCCTGCAATGTTGTACAGAATCTTAACATACATTAGCATTTATACGTTATATAAAGCCAATTTTTGTTCCTATAAATGATTTAAATGGAATATCAGCCGGACATTTAAAACAACGATATTAGATACGACTATGACGAGAATGATTAATGATGCACTAACCCTTTGATAGCTTGTGGATCTTAATAATCCCTACTTGTCTGTTGGTTTGTATATCTGTCGGTCTGTCCATCTCACAGGCTCCTCTGATCGTTACTGAAGAGCTGCACACATTCACCTTTGAGACACAGACGTTCCACCAGGGTCTTAAGATCGAGCTGGAGGTAGCTACCCCTTGGTTTTGCCTTTGCACACTAATAGGGCACGAGTGTGGTGTCAAAAGACTTTAAACAACATTGTTGAACCAAATCTGAGCTGCAGTACTCGTGGAGAAATTCATCCTTTCTAGATTTGAAGCTTTCGTGACTGCAAGGATCCATACTCTTTGGTTCTATTCGGTGGCCGAAACGTCGTGATTTTTGTTGTTTTATTTTTTACCTACGTGACTTTACTGAATAGAACCAAAGAGTATAAATTCATCCTTCACGACCGCTCTTTTCCCAACTTTAATAAAAATCCATTCATACTTTTTCCATGTGTGAACTGTTGCAATGGGGGCAGAAGCAAGCCTGGCCTCGAGTTATGAAACGAGGTCATGTGTGGAAGACACCACATTTTGAAAAACACCCGTTTATAATGAGGCAACATTTCATTTTAAGGTAAACCAAGTGGAAAAAAGCCAGCGGTGAAATGTCTGGAAACTTCAACTTGTAAAGCATATTTCAGTGTGTTAGGATCTGTGAGCTCAGACTTTTTGTTGGCTGTCAGCAGAGCAAAAGTGAGGATTGGTGTCCCACGCAAAAAGTGTGTGTGTAGTGGCTGTAGACTTGGTAGTGTAGTGGTTAGTGTGCCGCGCTTCGAACCCAGTGACCCGAGTTCGATTCTCGCTCACGGCCAACACCAGTGACGATTAACTGAACTGGTCTTGGGGATTCTCGAGGTCGATTCAGCCTCTGATTAGCACAGTTGGCTACTTACGGTGTGAAAGAAGTTCACCATACATACAAATGAGTACCCAGTGCGATGCGTAAATACTTCGCCACGAGGGAGACAAGCAACCGTTGTGGTGCTGGCCACCCACCCCCTTTGTGTGCCTTACCGACCTTCATAAGTGCTCATGAGCAGCACTTGTCCCTGCAGTCTGTTCAGGCTATGCGGGGGGATCTTTGTCTTCGTAGACATGCTCACTGCCAGTGGTGGTCATCTCTAATGTGAGCCAGCTGCCTTCGGGATGGGCGTCCGTCCTCTGGTACAACATGCTCACCAATGACCCCAAGGTGAGAGCAAGTGCAAAAGTATGCCGAAGTACTGCTGTGGTGAATTTTGGGAATAATTGCAGGTCAACAAGTTTGCATCACATATGTTTTGAATGTACTCGACAAATGCACTCACGTGTTTTAAAATTGTATTTCATGATTAATGTGTTTCGGCTATTTAATCATCAACTTTTAAAATACCTAAATCGTTTACTTAATCTTATATCCTGCTATTGTTTGTAACGATATGCCTCCATACTCTATGTATGAACAACTTATTACTCGGAGAAGCACACAAACATAGGCACCTGTGTGCACGTGTATATTTGGATGTATGCGTATTCACGTAAATGTGTGCGTGCTTCTGCAGAACGTGAGCTTCTTCACGAGCCCCCCACCTGCGATGTGGAGCCAACTCTCCGAGGTGCTGAGTTGGCAGTTCTCATCCTGTACGAAACGAGGGCTCAACGCAGAGCAGCTGACAACTCTGGCAGAGAAACTGCTCGGTCAGAAGACGCACACAGAGAGTCAACGCGCACATCGCGTGCAACATTCAGAGCAACCTCGCAGCTCGAATGCAGTGCAGTGTTCTGGGGAGGCTCACTCTCACGTGTGATCTGCATATTTCACAAATGTTCATTACACATAATACGCACAAACTCACATTGATGCGTAAAACACAGCTATGTATGGTTGTGCCTCTCGCCACCATCACACCGTTCACACACAACTGCACTATATGAAAGTCCTTAGTCGATAATGCGTTTGGTTACCTTTGGGGGATAGCTAATGTGCCCCTTTGCTTGTTGGCAGGCCCACGTGTCAACTACTGCGAGTGCCACATTCCTTGGGCCAAGTTCTGCAAGGTATGTTCACCACCTGCTCCTGGGTGTCTCTGGCACCGTGTTAAGTCACCATCTGAGCGTATTCACAATTATGCTGTGCATTGGCTGCGTCGTCCATTTTCTTTTCCAGTTGAAATAAACATTTCCTACCCTTCAGTCAAGCAATTCTCTTGCAGTTTATTTTTAACATTGGGTAATGCACACATGTGACTACATATTTTCTCGCATGTCTGCAGGAGAATCTGCCAGACAAGCCTTTCTCGTTCTGGCTGTGGTTGGATGGCATCCTGGAGCTCGTGAAAAAGCATCTCATTACGCTGTGGAATGACGGGTGGGTTCGGCCTCATCCCACCATCCCACCTGACATACCTAGGCTATTAATTCCTGTATTCTATTAAGAATGTCTTTATTTGGGAAGTGTCACTGGCAGTGTTATTCGCTGTTTCTGACAAATGGAAAGAGTGACCGACATGTACAGATTCTTAAAAAAAAAATGGGTTATAATTTAGAGTAAAGTTGCATTGTCACTACAGAATGGCACATCTACACACCCGACACTTAATTTGTAAATAAACTCATTTTTTCAGTATTTCAGATAAGGAAGTAGCCAGAGTCAACGAATATATCGGCTTTGATTTAAAGCTTTCGTGACTGCAGGGATTCATATTCTTGGTTCCAAAAGAACCAAGAATATAATATATCAGCTATTTGTCCTTTATTCCACCACATATCAGGCATTCCTTATTGGATATCAGAATGTTAACAAAGGCTCCTTCATATAATTTGTAAGTGCTTGGTTGTGATTTTCCTCTTTGTCTGTTGGACGCGTGACCTTTTCCTGGCACCTGCTGTCACAGCTGCATCATGGGCTTCATCAGCAAGGATAGGGAGCGCCAGCTGCTGAAGCAGAAGTCCCCGGGCACCTTCCTGCTACGTTTCAGCGAGAGCAGCAAAGACGGTGGCATCACCTTCACCTGGGTGGAGCAGAGCAGAGACGGTAGCTTCCTGCCATGTGACAAGAACATTTACACCTGGAACTGTCATAACACTCGACGTAATATCACGTATCAGGGAACGGTCCCGCAAGATGGCATGACAGAAAAACCGTTGCATATCCACTCAGAAGATTTAAGCACCCACACCCAGTGCCGTTTTTGTGCACAGTAACGTGAAGAATACAGAATTGATGAAACTGTAATGGCTTAACAATGCGAGTGATACAAGTTCCCTTTCATTTGCTGGACGGGAATGCGTTTGCGTGCAGGCGAAAAGCCCATCAACTCGGTAGAGCCCTACACCAAGCAGCAGCTGTCTGCGGTGTCGTTTCCTGACATCATTCGCACGTACAAGGTGATGGCTGAGCAAAATATTCCCACAAACCCACTCCAGTACCTGTACCCGGACGTGCCCAAGGACCAAGCATTTGGGAAGTACTACGCTCCACCAACAGGTAAGAGGCACGGGCACATGCGCCTGTGAAAGATGCTTACCTTCATGAACGGCTGCATGCGCAGCAGCCATCTTGCCAACTAACTGCTTCTGTGCACCGTATATGCTTACGTATGCTTCTCTATATTCGTGTCGGTCCCTTTTGGTGATGTCACTGAGTGAAGCTGCATCAGCTTCTGCTGTTGTAATGCTGAGTTGCGGTGAACAGAGGTGAAGTCGGTGCATTCATTCATGATTTGGATTCCCTGATCTGTGAGAGCAGTTCCTCCTGAGCCAATGGAAATCGGCCCAAAGGAACCTGGTTACATCAAAACCCAGTTCATATCTGTGTAAGTGTTGCCAGCACCAGCTGTACACCTGCTGCAGATAAACATTAAGCTTATTGAAATTCACGGTTTGCATTTCTTGTTGAATCGAGACGTTTGACGTTTGTTTCGTCTCCATCCGCCAGGTCAACGCAGCCAAACAGCTCCCCTCCGTCCTCAAGCAACATGATCTCTCAGCCACAAAATCACGCGACTTCTCCACACTCGAGCTGTATAGGTTCGCCTCACTCTGCACACATACCTTCCCCTCACTCAGTTCACATGACCCCCCAGCATCCAGGTCAAGTGATGTCGCCACACTCAGGGCAGCTGGCGCATCCGCATGAAGTCTTCACCATGTCTTCGCCCGAGTATGAGATCAACAGTGGGCATGCCGAATTGCCTAACAGTGGCATTGTGAGTACCACGGAGTCTCCACCATATTGGCTAAACACGCATGCCTTGCAAGCAAAACAGCTCATTGCGTGAGGTTACAAATAATGCAGCTACAAATATTTTTGAATATATTTTTGTATGTTTTACGTGTAAACTGAAATGTGCGTGTACACTTTTGTCCATTTTTACTACAGTTATGCCCTCGGTGTGAGCTAAGCCATGTGTGCACTCTCATGACTGTCGGCTGCAGGGTTACTCGAGCAGCATGCAGGGCCAATCGTTGTACAGCCAGTTCTACGGACAGGCGTGCTCAACGTTCCCGGCATCGCACATGTACCAGAACAACTGAGCCACAACACAAGTTGCCTCTGGAAGAAAGGAAGACCTGGATGGGGAGGAGAAGTTTGAGCAGAGAATGATGAAGTGTGAGGACAGATCTGGCTATTAGGCATATTCTATTCATTTATGATTTATGCATGCCCAATAACCTACTCATTGCTTAACGACTACCCTCTTTCAACACTCACCCTCACATCATTGCACTACCACAGACAGATAATTAATTCCCTTCAGTTTCAGATCCACATTTTGTCTCCGAGGTGGCAATGGACGGAGTTAGTGACCATGTGACAGCAGCTAGACTGGAGCGAGCCCATGTTCAGTCAAACCCAGAAGCCTCACATGATGCGAGGCTTGTGGCAGTAAGAAGCAGGTGTCTCCTTCAGGATATGTGGAGCCCTCCACACTGCTGGGTCAGAGTGCTGATTCAATTTTTGACCTGTACATGGGTAATCCTTATGGCATTCTTGCTAATTAACCTGAGTTTTCAATTGAAGTAGGAAACCTATTAAGCTAGGAAGGTGTTGCTCTTTTAATAATTTGCAATTGATTCCAGTATGAGCATAGATTACTGTCCAAGGTTAGAATGTAAACGCTGACAGAGGTGACTGGAAGTTACACTTTTTTTGCTTTTTAAAAAATATATTTTTTAAGTACACTTTAGGATTTTTTGTTTGATTTTTTTTTTTACTCGCTAGAATTTGTCAATATAGAAATTCGGTCATGTAAGTTTGTCCAAAACCACGATAATGTAGGTGGGGTGGGTGTATGCCACATGGATCATCATGTTCATGAGATAGATACCAAACCTGCAGGGTAATAAGGTATTGCAGCAAGTGCTTTGGATGGGGTTTTTTAATGTAAGCTCTAATTGTAACTTTGGTGGGGTTTTCCAGGTTATTGTTTTCTTCCAGGCATGGAAACACTCTATTTTGGAATTATCCAAACACTGCAAGCAGAACCATCATGCTTTGATAATAAGGTTTTCTGGATCAAGGAATATTTTGGAAATACTTGGGTAAAACAATCGCTTACTTTCTTCCTTCCACCTTTTATTTTCCAAGCTGTGAGTTCCTAAAAGTATTATTTGAATGTGCCTCAAAGATTATTTTCATTTGCCCCCATATTGTACAGTACGTGGTTTTATATTAGCTTTTTAAAAAAAAAGATTGTTTTACTTTTACTCCCTTGACCTGTATTGAACCTGTTAATGTCTGCTTCAGGATGGGGACAAAGGTGGCTGGTGTGACAACCCTGCATGGCTTCTACGTGCCTATGATGCTGTTTGCAATGGGGGGGGGGGGGGAGAGGGGTTTGCCACATCGTAAGAAATTGAGATTTCCTAAGAAATGTTGAGTTAATTTTACAGTAAAGGTACTTTGCGATTTTCTGTAATGACTAGAGTTAATAAAAAAACATTCACTGCTTTTAACTTCACAATCGGTGAAGGAGTAACGCCTTTATGCAGTGTAAGCAAACGAGCAATGGTTTGAGTAGCCTATTGTATAAACTAAGAAATGTTTGTGTGTCCTGCAAGTATAAGCAGTTCCCTGGTTTTTATTTAGGAATAATGATAAGTGGAGCAATCCCTAAACTTCCCGTTCCTTTGGTGGGGGGGGGGGGGGGAGAAATCCCGTAACCAGCTGTGCGGTGAAATGAAGCTCAAGATGGGATTGTATAGGTGCCTATCCACAAGCTGTGTAACATTAGTTCTGCCTGGCAGGACAAAACGGTCTCAGAAGAAGTCATTAAAGGTGATATAAAAAAAATGTGTAGATAAAAGCCATAGATATTGTAAGACGTGTCTTTGTATCGCAATGTAATCGATTCTACTCTGTATAAGATTATTTGTGGATTCACAAATCTTGTTTTTCTTAAACTTTTAACGTTTTTGACGTGTCTTTTTGTCATGTCCATGTAGATTAGACAAAGCATGTATTGTTCAGATTACCATATATATTGCAACTATATTTTGAATGTATTTACCAGCAGTAAAGAAAAAAACTTGCTTGGAGTGCATCTTAAATGCTTTAAAGATTAGAATGTAAGCAAGGATTGGAACACCCAGTGTGCTATATGGACGCAGTACGGCAGTAACAGGATTGTTCAGACAATGTACTTACAGCTTAAACACGTGTATTGACTACATATTCCTCAATGTAACCGGGTTATGATAATGCCATCCACGGCAATAACTATAGTGGTTTGCTATAGGTATCACTGGATGTGACAGTAATATATTTGCTTTGATGTAACGTATATTGTCTTTATTAGGGCTTGTGCAACTCCGTCCTGCCGTCCTGCATGCTGTTTATTTCATACTATATATAAACAAAACATCTGTATCCAAAATTGTCTGTTACCTCCAAAAAAAATAGATATTTCAGTATTCCCACACACACACACACAGGTGTCATGTCATGTAATGGGGGTAGACCGGCAAACCTAACAACGATATCTGAACTGGTCCTCGGTCCCTCTCTTCGACTACCCTCACTGACCATTGCAGTGAAGTATAGTAAAAATAAGGAACCCATGAAAGACACGGTGTGGTGAAAGCATGTAACCAACAGAGCACGGACAAAAGGGCTGTGGTTATAAAATGAATGTCATACGCTATCGATAATCTACATCTCATTGCGGATAAACTACAGTGCCCATTGGTATTTACATGTATTGTATTTTCGTGAGTTAAATGTTAAGGCCTTTGGGCTTCAGTTGCGGCGTTATCCAATTTTTTATCCATTGCTGCCTTTTACTTTAAGCATGAGTTGTCTAATCAGAGTTATTTGTAATTATATATAAATTGCCATTAAGCTGGTAAATAACAGATTTGGTGTCATTTTGGGCCAATTTGATTTTTTTTAAGTTGCCATTTTTTCTCAACTTTTTTTTAAAATACGATTACTTCCAGGTGGGCTTCCCGTCAATCGCAACAGCAACACGGTTATTCACTGTAGAATTGTATAAATCTAAGGTCTCTTTTAAATATTAATTGTACTAAAGTGTGTACATGAGCATTGAACTGCCACGTGTGTACTCTTCATGTTACTGCACTGAGTAGCACATTTACAATTCTGTTTTTCTAGTTCTCATTCAACATAATTCCCATGCTTGCGGATGGCAGATAAGTGGCCACAACTATAACCATGCATGGTGGTTATGATTGCCCTGGGTTGTATTTCAAGGATGCATGTTCACAGATGATTGGATTCGGGTTAAAATGAGAAGTGGTTGGAGAATTTCTGACGCGCATTCACAAGACAACCAAAACAGACACGGCCTTTCAAGTAAACCACCCTTTGCACTGCTTTTATGTGGCTTGATTTGTTTTGTTGCTGTAAGCAACTCAGCTTTTGTGCTTTTATTTCATTTAATTAAAAAAATGAAATTAACTCTTGTAGTACTGGTGTAATATATTCTACAAATTAGATTGATCTCTGAGAGTATGAGGTATTTAATGTATACGTCATTTTCAACAAATACCTAAGCCTGTGCTCTCCGGTTTCCTGTATGAAAAGTGAACATCTTTGCCCAATCCTGGCCAGCTGGCTGACAAGTTAACGAATGAAATGAGCACGCGCTCATGTGTAATGCACTTTCCAAAAGGTTTGATCATCTGTACATAGTTTGTCCATAGTTCAACATGGATATCGTCATACAATAAATGTTGTCACAAGTTAACCTCGTTTAAGGGAGTTAAACAGTTTCGAAGGACGTTCTGGAATTTGGTGTTGCTATCATTGGTTGACAGTGGACAATACGTTAAATGCAAAAACCGAGGAATCTGATATGGCTATCGCTCGACTGCACCGGTGCACGCATTGGTCGTAGGTTGAGTGCTGCTCTCGTCAGACATTAACCCTGGCAAGAGTGCACAATATTTTATTTTCTTAAAATATGCAGTGGTCATACAGTGCCCATTGTTTTCCTGGAATGGAAGATGCTGAAATGTTCAACAAATGAACATAAAAAGTGCTTTAAATTAAAATGAGTAAGACTACTTCGAGGACCTTTGTTAAAGTATTTTATTCTTAACTAACATCTTGCCCACGGTATCTGCTCAAGACTTTGGGCTTAACGCTCACGGGAAATGACATTGTGAAGACCACGTGCACAATTAAAGCTATTTGGGCAATGTACACCACACCCAAAGTACTGTTTGGTAATACCATACTGTATAACAATAGGCCTGGTACGAGAGATGGCTTATGTTTAAACATATCTTCAATATAATGAGCGACAAACGTTTACATTTTTGTGACATAAATCTGCAGTTCCCGTGCAACTATGTAAACACCTGACAAATCCAACTGGCAAGGTTTCCTTTCTCTAAACGTCTGGTTGCCAACAAATTAAAGGTGTTGGCATAAACAATTACGGTACAAATCTGGCAATATCATCTGGTACATATGTAATGGGAAACCAAACAATGATGTCAATAAACTACCGGAACACCTACAACATTAACCACATGTGACCAGTTTATTGCTAAGTTTTGAATATAGAGTATGTTGAATTTGTGCCAAAAAACTCCATACTGGGCGTGTGGAGATTATACACAGTGCCATATTTCCCAAACACCTACTTCCAATCTGCATGTATCACTGAAAATCTATCTGGGAAAGGAATTCGCAAGTAATTTGTATAACTGCTATTTTGGTGCCACGGCCTCGAAGCAACTCTGCAACTCCACCCCCCCTGGCCCCCACAAAGATAAAGATCCCCCATATAGCCTTAACAGACTGTAGGGGAAAGTGCTGTTAGCGAGCACCTATGAAGGCCGGTAACGGTACACCAGGGAGTGGGTGGCCAGCACCACGCCCGACCGCCTTTGTCTCCCTAGTGGCAATGTTTACACACCGCACCAGGTACTCACACACACGAAATGCACACACGTGGTAGGGTCCTAGCGGGGGTATTTCCTGGCACAAACGCGTTTTAATCCGAAGGATCCCTGGGAGGAAAAGTCCCACGGTTTCCCGGTGCCAGGAAGATTTGGCCGATCCTCGCAGGGGGGGCAAGGTTACATTACGGTGCCCCCCCCCCCCCCCTGAGGTTGGCTTCATATTGTATGGGCGCAAAAAAAGGTTCACCGGGCCAGCCGCAATGAGTCATTCACGACATCGGGACGGGGCTGGGTTTGGAATCTTAAGCGACAAGGGCAGACCATGAGAGATCGGGGGGATCGCAGCGCCACGACCACCCTCGGGACCCCCATACCGAATACACGCAGGGTGTGTATTCGCCAGTCGGGCGTCAATCCGGATGAACAAGGGTGAGCGTGTAATAAATGAACGGGCCTGTAAATCACAAATAGGCGCCGCCAAGACCGTGCCGTCTTGCCTTCTTGAGGCCGCTCGCAGCGTCCGTGTGATGCCAGCCAGTGCTGCTCCGAGGCACGTGGTAAGGCGTTTGAGAATCTGGGGACTGAGGCAGCAGTAGGTTAGGCTCTTCTAGCAAAATATCCCACCCAAGGTAGTGCGGGGTTTACGCCGAGAATAAAAGTTAGCACAGAGCATCGGTGTGGTGTCTGTAATTTCTGTGGAGCGACTGCTGTCAATGCTAGTTGTGATTTTATGTAATACATTGAAAGTGTAAAACATATTGCTTTAAATAAACCTAGTTCAGCTTTTGAATTGTGACCCTTAAAACACCGCACCTCATTCCGTGTCATCTGGATAAAGGCTTCTCTCACAGTTTGTGTGAAAATTGATTCACTTGATTGCCCAGGGGAGCCTCCATTTTCACATAATTGGGCAAAGTATTCCTATTCCTCAAGTTGTCAATTGGGCCCTCTCGCTGTAAAATTGTAGAGAATGTACCGTAGTGTGATTTATTGTCAATGTTAGCAATGCGGGGGCAGGCGACTGAATAATTCACAATCATTAAGCAATTAAAAAAATCAATTAACTTTTCTTTATTGCTGAATATACACATTAAAAAAAACAATTACGTAATAATAAACACAACTCTCAATGCACATGTGCTTTTACAAACCACAAGCACATGAATTTCAATACCATCACAAGTATTTCTAAGCACACACTATCATTAGCAGCCATATTCAATCCACTGCTGGATGAGGCCTTCCCAAGCCGTCGCAAGCCCAAATAGCTACAATGTATAAACATTACACAGCAACAAAAAACACTCCTGGAACAATAGTAAAATTAAAAATGTTACATTGTATTTGAGATAACGTAAGAGTTATTGGTTTACACAAATAACTACACAACTGTCTACTGTGTGCATATATAAGACTTTAATATAGTATGGGCATCCATAATACAGGTTTTTTTGGGTTAGATCGCGTAAATATAAACGTGTCATTAAACCCGCCACCATCCGACACAGCCAATTAATAAGGTTTGTCACATGAACAGAACATGCCAATTCGTTACTAGTACAGCACACCGGTGTGTTGGAGAGCAAATCCACAACATTTACAATCCGAGTACGTTTCACTATGTTGCACAATACATTCACTCTGCACGATCCACATCAACACAGACAACAATAAATAAAACATTTAAAAGTAGAATCGCTGTACCTTTGTTTTGGCATGTTGAGATTCCTTTACATACAAATCCACAAATATGGAAAGCAAGAAGGCATTTGAGCATAAGTAGGGTGTATATTTACACACGCACTGTGGGGATTCAGTGACGTAGTGGTCAGCGCACTTCACTTTGAACCTGGCCGCCCGAGTTAGATTCCCACTTCCAGTCAACATCAAGTGGCATATATCTGAACTGGAGCAGGGCCTCCCTTAAGTAGACTCAGCTCCTAAACATGAACATCTGGTGCAGTGTATGAACATCAGCACTGGGGAGACCAAGGCGGCCAGGGATGGTTTATGCACCATTACAACCTTCATTGGCGCTCGCAAACAGAATTTGCCCCAAAAGCCTGAAAATGCTAAAATTGGGGGTGTCTGTCTTAGTATATATTGTAAAATATAGTGTGGTATTATGCAGAGACCTAATATGTTTCCCCCCATACACAGGTCCTCATGCCACCTCTGGCCCCAGTGCCTTACCACACAGTGTACAGGACTAAAAGCAGCGAAGATACAGGATTGCATGCCTGTTACGCGATGGAAACATTCGCTGATGCAATTACCTGGTTGCATGGGTTATCGTAGGCTTTTTTTATTAATTGCATTAAGAAACCACATTTAATGTTTAACTGCCAAAAGAAAGTGATACACAACAATCGCAACCGATTTGCAGGAGAGCCGCACAAATAAATAGGGAGATGTGCCGTGCTGAAGAGTGAGGTCCATACGCCCACGTTGTAGCAAGCACATCTGGTGTAACACCACCAATGTCGGGGTTAAAAAATAGTTTTCTAGTTTCATAAATAAAATAAAAAGACCACAAAATATTATCTGATTTCAACGCAACAGCTGCAGATTTGTTATACCCAAATAATGCCCTTTAGGACTCCAGTTTAGGTTCAACCTGCCCATTTCCCCTGTCATTGGAGGGGCTACTGTCATCGACCCTCTCTTCCTGGTTCACGGATTCAGTTGCACTTGTTTTGTCTTCGTTTGCTCCATCCTCTGCATCTGCACAAGCACAAAGCCAACGAGTCAATGGACAATCACCCTGAAAAAGCAAAACCTTCAGTCATATACACCATTGTATGGTGTGGTAGCTTGTTCATGAAAAAGACTGAACATAATTGATGATCATTTAAAAATAAATGCGTTTACTTTTAGTTGAACAGCAGTCTACAGCAAGGCAGACAGGAACAGAGAAATGCACTGAAAACACAGGGGAGCAATAACAAGCTTCTTAAATCAAGATTATATGAGGATGAAATGATACACAAAAGACAAGCATTCACAAGGCCGAGTTTGTGCATGAAAGGAAAGTATTCCAATCCACAGTAAAGCAAGGGCATGTAGCACAAATGAGAGGAGTCGGCAAAACGTGTAGACCGCATTATAGAAATCGGAGGCAAAGTCAACTCGTTGCAACGACTATCGCAGTACAACAAAACGCACAGTGCACGGTGACATCTGGCTGCACTCGAGCAGCAGCAGGGCTCACCAGACCAGGCCGGCTCGGCCTTGACGTGCGGCACGTCCGCGGGTGCGAGTATGGCGTGCTGCCGGGCCAAGCGCAGCCCCTCGTCCATCAGCATGCGCTGCACCAGCTGCTGCCGCACCAGCGGACTCGGGCGGTAGTTCCCGGGAAGCTCCCCGGACCCAGGCGCGCCGGCCATACTCGAGTCCGAGGCGCCATCCTCCCATGCATCTGGGCACGCACAGCCTCGGTTACAATTCTCTGCAGGTGTCATCGAATCACTCGATTGAGATTACACAAAGCGGTCATCTCTCTGCCCCCCCGCCCTCCACCACCGCTGCTATTGCGAAAACTTGGCAAGACTATTCTGACAGAGTTGTGAGATTCTGTGAGGCTTTCCTGGGTAAACGATCATAATGATGAAATAATAATGACACAAAACACTCTTTCCCTTGACGAGGGGGCGGGAGGGGGGGGGCATGGGTCGTACCTGCGGCATCGTCGCCACTCGAGTCAGAGTCGTCGGCACCATCCTCCGGGGTGCCCTGCTCCCCGCGCTGCTGCTTGCTGTAGAAATAGCGATCCGAGCGCCTCTGTCGCCGCAGCAGCTCGGCCTGCTCCTGGCTCAGCGCGTGCTGCTCGGCCTGTATCAGTTCCAGCCGCACCTAGTGGGGACGCGTCATAGCTGTGGTTGCTACCTGTCCCTGATTTTCCCAGATCGCCCTCTTCTTGAGGTAGCCATCCTGGAAAATCTCCAAGCCTTCCCGGGACATTAAAAGCCCAAGTTTTTGTAAGTTGCATAATACGAAACTGGATACAATGCATATACATTAGGGCTGAACGATTAATCGATTTCAAATCGAAATCGCAATTTGAAACAACGCAATTAGCAAATCGCAAAGGCTGCGATTGTTTACGATTTGAAAAGTCCTACTACTTACTTATTGAAATTGTTTTATTTTTTATATTATAACTTTATTTATATAACTTAACAATTGTTCTATGTTTGATTGTTCTATTTCAATTAAAACATTTTAACAAATACATGTTGGAAGCAATGCATATCTTTTAAGTTCTCATCCTTGCATTAGAATATATTGAGCAGTTCATATTTTGGTGGTTTCATGTGGTAATGCTTGTTTTAAATCTATTACACAGTGAATATTGAACTGAAGCTTGACTTAAAAAAATGTAATCGCAAATCATATCGCAATATCTGTCAGAAAAATCGCAATTAGATCTTTTTCCCAAATCGTTCAGCCCTAATGTGCATGTAGTTCTCCCCCCACTTCCGGTATGGTCAGATATTCTTTAACCCATGATAGATCCGATTTTTGGGTCCGCAAGAGGTGGCAACCGCCATCACAAGCTTGTCGAACAGGCCACGCTTGTGTCTTGGCACAGTATGTTTGTGAGTATTTTTAAAATGTATTTCGTACTCTACGTAGCCAACCATCATAGGTGCGGGGTAAGGACAACAAACTCATGGCAGGTAATATGCCTGGACTTCAAACCCAATATAAAAGAGATCTGTAACAAGATCTAATCGGGGGGCTCTGAAACAGGCAGGCTTCACTCCAGGCTCCATTGTCCCTGCTTCACTCATCTTGACTTCAGGCTCCGGTCGATCTGGCCATGATAATTGGACTAATTGGACAATTTGGAGTGTAAATATTCACCTCCGAAGTGATTCGGCAAATTGCACCCATTCACGATTGTGGCAATTCGATTCATGAATAAATGCTTATTTTAACGTTGCAGTGTCAGACAGCACCTCTAGTGGCTGCAGGGGTGATGTGAACCCATTAATACAACACAAGTCCTGAGATATAAATTTTCAGACAGGTGGTTCGATGTTTTTATCGTGAATTTCGTAATAAATATTAAGCGACGGATTTAAGGATTGTTCCACGCCTACTGAACATCCCTGAAACATCGTGGAAAAATTACGCCGCCATCCTTGTTGAGTGCATATTTCAAAGAGCAGCGAGAACCAATACAACCACTATGAGAGAGAACAGTGTCAAAAGTAAAAATGCCCTTTATCTTACAATGGTCGTGCCAGCTCGTTCAAAAATGTAAGCGTCTGCAGTCACTAAGAAGCTCCCAGCATGTGGGTCGGAATGTCAGACGCCTAGAACAATCCAGATCTGATGCACGAGGCCATGCAGGGGCAAAGGTCCAGGAACATCAACGTCAGCAGCATCGGAATGAAATCGGCGTTGTTGGGTGTGCGAGCAAACCTGCAGCTGAGTCATGGACGCAGTAGCCCCCGTGCTCTTGGCCTCCACCAGCTGATCCTGCAGGGTGTCCTGGCCCTGTCGTAACGTGCGCAGTCGGTCCTCAATCTCAAACAGGCGATCCTGGGGCACGCACACGCACGGCAAGTTACACCATGACCCCGAAAGTGCCACTCGCTCGCTCGGTCTCACTCCACTGCACCCGTGTCGCTCGGCGCGCGTGCCTGTGTCCCCACACTGTGCACGCACCTGTCTCTTGAGCTTGGCGAGCTCAGCCTGCACCGTGCGGGGGTTAGGGGTGTCGTCACGGCTGAAGAGTCCTCCCCCCTCCAGTCGGGGTCTCTTTGCCACAAGCGAAAACGCACTCTCCATGTACTTAGATCTGTGAACGTACAAGCGAGCGAATGGTGTCTCAGTTCCAAACGAAAAAGCAAACTCCCCTTCTCGCATTGTTCTTAAAAAAATGTAGTATCATTGTGACGACTGTAAATTACAACGTGAATAAGGATACATTACGTCTCTCCGCATTACATCTCTCCAAAAAAATAAAAGCATTTTCTTAAAATACCCATCAGCAACAATGCCTTCTGGGGGTGCATAATTTCAGTCGCTAAACCAGTTTCTACATACAGTGTCTCACGTGCATTATTATCATTTTAAACCTCATTTCCTTTTTACAGAGAGAACAATTATATTCTCAATTGACATTATTGCCTGATGGTCTTTGCTCATCCAAAAGTCCTTCAAGGGAAAAGAGGCAGGAGATTTAAGCGACCTAATATATAACCGAGCAACCAAAATCACTGACGTTGCTAAGATAATACAACATTTTTTTTCTGCAGAGATATCGCTACCCCTAAAGACCACTACGTGTGTTGCCAGACCAACTCCAAAGTGGTACCTGACAGATGTAACACAGGATGGGGCGTACAAGGAACTCCGATGAGCATCACAAACGAGTCAAGAAAAACAAGGCGCGTGGCGTCCAGTCCATCGATTCAGGAACATTCAGAGGAAGGTGGCGAGGGGGCGTGGGTCGCGTGCGTCGAACGTACTTTGAGTACTTGCGGCTGTAGTGGTAGCCGGACTCGCGCACCACCTGGCGCGCGAGCGGGAAGAGCTCGTCGCGCCGAATCAGCAGGGTCAGGTCGCGCGCGCACAGCTGGGCCGCCGCCTCGTTCACCGTCATCTGCGAGCAGCGCACGAATACCGACCCCATGGCATGGAACTCGATCCCCCCTGCTTGGCTGCCCCCCCCCCCCCCCACCAAGCTGGACGGTATGGCGAACAACGCCGACGCCGGCGCATCTTCCACGCCCGCTCAAGTGTCACCGGGATCACATGGCGCAGGAGATGCCGAGCGCCCTGTACCCCAAGTGTAATCCAAAGCGTTATATGTGGGGGTTGTTGGATCGTACAAAGATCATTATGTCCTGTGATGCTTCCAATCCGGTAGGTTATAAGGTGGCCAGTGGATGTCACACTACTGTACAACTGGTAGGTTGTTGAATTATCTGCATGGCTATATATATATTTTTTAGATTAGTCACCCGTATGCATGATTTTCTCTTGGTACTCTTGTTGCCTTCCATATCCAAAGCATAATCATGAAGGAAACCACCGATTATTATTATTACGATTGTAACTGCATTGTGTATGGATGGTCGTCCCCTTCCCTTCTGCAGCCTCTCCTGTATTGTAATGTACACTTACACAATGTTTAATTGTATGCAGGGTGCTGGGTAGGACATACATAAAGATACTTTTCTTTCATTATTTCATTCATATGGTGTTTTAAAAGCAATGCACGCATTTATTTATGACTGTGTTGAATTTGGAAAGCCATTCGATGACATCTATGGTCACCAGATATTTTTGCACATGTGCCTCCTTTAAATTAAATTATTTGGTAATGATCGATACTTTGAGTGATGGATTGCACTTCACTGCAGGCACAATTAGGCAAATACTCAATTCCTCACTCATGAGAGGAGGTAGCACCTCCCATGTGCAGTTCTGACATGATTAAGCGCAGTCCATGTTTAAGCGTGTGGTAAATCAAGCGGTTCCTTTGTTGGATCCTACAGAATTGTATAAACGGGTTGACAAACACGTAAAGATTATTTTTAATAAAAAAATGGAGGTGGAGCGGGAAGAGGAACCGGACAACAGCAACAAGCGAGCACCCACCTCGTGCAAGGTGAGCTGCCGGCCATCCTTCCGCTTGGAGTCGTAGCGGCCGTAGATGGCGCTGTACCTCCGGATCTCGTCCATGCGGCGGCGGTCGCTCTCGTGCAGGTCGAGGATGTGCGCCAGCGAGCGACCCTGCTTGCGGTTGCCGCGCAGCAGCTCCCTGAGCTCCTCGGGGCTCGGCCGCGGCGGTGCGGGCGTCGACGCGGAGCTCAGCAGCCTCCGCGCCGACTCCCCGATGCTCTGAACGGAGGCGTCGTCGAGGCACGCGCCGGGCTCCAGGTCCCGTGGCGGCGACGATGGCGGCGAGCCGGGGCCTTCGTCAGCCGAGCGGCAACCCGAGTCGGCCGGGGAGAGCCTCTGCTGCGCGGCCAGCGGCGCCGGGGGCTGCGCTTCCCGCTGGGGACACGCGAGAGCAGCGCGCGTGAGGGCGGAGACTGGCACACGGTAGGTTTACTCAAGGCAGCGCAGACCGCCCCCCCCGGGTGTGAAACATGCAAGAAGAATGCTTATGCGGAGGTGACAGGCACTAAAAGTCAGTCTGATTGACACGTGAACTAAAATCTGAAAAAAAGCTGAATTTGTTATCTGGCGAAGATGGTAATCAGCCAAGCGTGGTGGTGTGTGCCTCTTAATTTATTGCTTTGGATGAAGGATTGGTAGATGTTGCAGAATTTATGAGTAAGAAACTTCAATCTATCGAGGTGAGATTGTGGCAGTGGGGAAAATCGTTCTTCGACTCAAAATTTTGCATGATTCTCTCTTAACCGCGAGAGTTCCCGATGAGAACTTGTTTTCTCTCGCACAGTGAAATTACTTAAGGGCACCTCCTGAGGAAGAGTATCGATACCCAATGAGGCTGCCCCGAATACCACAGCACTAATGCCATTACTTCTACTCAGTGACCAAGCTGAGTGTGTCACTGCACGGAGACAGGTCCCTTCCGCCCCCTCCTCCCGACTCTACACAGAAGCCCCTCACCACCGGGCGGTCCCTCACGAACCTCGCGCGCGGTCACCAGGGGAGGCGAGGGCCTTTCGACGGCCGGGGCGCTTGGCAGCATCACGGCCCTGGCCACCTGGTGCTGGCCGTGCGTGGGCGCCGGGTGGACGGGCGCCGGGTGGACGGGCGCCGGGTGGACGGGCGCCGGGTGGACGGGCGCCGGGTGGATGCGAGCCTGTGCCGACGTGTGAGCCAGGGAGGGGCCGTGCGGCGCGGCGTGGGAGCCGGCGGTCGCGGCGTCCATGCCACCAGGGCGGCCGATCTTGGAGGAGCAGCACACGAGACTCTGGGCCAAGCGCACCTGGGGAGGAAGGGCGGGGACCACAGATGCAGCACGGGTCAGGAGAGCTCAATGTGGACACGCATCAGCTCTCCCCGTTTCTAAGTCAGTTTTTTGGGGGCGGCAGGGGTGGCGCATTTGTAACCCTTGCGCCTCACAACTAGACTAAATGAGACTGCACCAGCCAACAGCTACTTTACACAGATGCATGATGTACAGTATTTAAGTTTCCTTACTTATCTGGATAAATGTCTGGATAAAGTTTTTGGGTTGGCACAATCTACGCAATTACTTTGAATGTTCTGGTTACTCTGCTTCAAATGTTGAAATTAAATTAGGATAATTGAGAGAAATAAAGTGCAGTTACTGAAATTAATAGACTCCTCCACCAGGCTGACGTGCTGAGGATGTCTCATCACATCGTCAACCCTCGTCGGCAGTGAAGCCTTTGCGATGACATTGCAATTAAGCTCCCAGCACTCCAGCTTTAACGGATGAGTAAGGCAGCACACAATAACCAAAGCTTATAAATAGTGCAGCACAGCACACACTCAGCCAACACTGCCAATCACACCCAGCCACAATCGCATGGCCTAATGGGCAACAAAAGCAGGAAATGAATGTTCGCGAAGTGGCTCTTTCCGAAAATGGCTAAAATTATACCCTGCAAAGCGTAATACGTCTTCTACATTCACGCTCATCATCTCTGGAGGGAGAAGCAATGACAAGTCATCCTACGCATGTTTACGATGCTTGCTAAAACGTATTTTATACGTTCATATGGAAATGGAATTTATAAATGAAGCAAAATGAATGGAAAGATATAACCCTTTTGGATCAATGATATGCACGTCCTTTTTCAAATATACGTCTTTGTATGATAATGGCTCAATATTATGGGGGCTTTTTGACAGTTACCCGAGTTAATGTATTTTTCACTTCAACTTGTCTCTTATCCCTGTATACGTTTTCTACCAGCCCTGTCGATGCAGCTTGAGAACCAAAGTATTGGCTCTACTGTCTACTACATTCATAGTAGACATGTCCTGTTTTTACTCGTGTGATCCACTGACACAACCGGCATCGCTGCCCTCCATACACAATAGACACGTAACAACAGAGCCATCAATTAAAATCGATTCTCACACTCACCACAAAATGTGCAATCAACTGAATGTGTGCGAGATTTCAATAATTTACCCATTTATGAAATGTATTGACAGACCTCTGAAACCAAGCAGGGTTCAGCTGGATAGAGCAGCCTGGATGCGTGACCACTGTGTACACAAGACAGGCATTGCAAGATGCGTCGTGGGCAGAGGGCATTTTATGCAAACCCCCCACCTTCACCAACCCAAGCTTCAACCATCACCCATTGGAATAAGAGGTTCATCCATCTCTTATTGATTTTATTCATTAGCATAACAAAAACACAGCACATAATTTGCATTGCATTCACATAAATTGCGTGCACACAGAAATTATTTGTGGGAAAACTAAAACCATGCAGGCCAATGCTGCGTACACCTCGTGCTGCACAGGGACACCTGCAGATGGGGCGCCGGTACCCCTTGGCTAGACCGTCGCAGGGCATTGCAATGGTTGAGATGAGCTGCAAGGCACTGGAAGTTGCCGAAATATTTATCGTCCCCCAAACGCAAATCCATATCCTCATTACTTGTTTTCACCTCGTCACGCCGGAAATGCACCGCGGTGAGCTTCCCGCGTTTGCGAGGCCACATCCCTTCATCGATTCACCCAAAACACGGCAAACGTTTTGCAATTGCCCGACAGCAGTTAACGACGGCAGAACTTCGCCGTGCTGGAGTGGCACGAAGCGGTCACCGTCTGCTCACCTGCGCCTCGAGGGCGTTGCTCGCCGGGTTGGGGCGCGCCACAGCAGAAGCCGACAGCTCCGGAACACGCGTGAGCGGGATGCTCGCCGCCGGGAGCTTGGTGACCGGTTGGCTGAACCCCCCGGGGTTGCTCACCTGCGTCACCAAAATCACGCGCACAGCCACTGTTAGTTACGCACGGCCACTGTTACGCACGGCCACTGTTACGCACAGCCACGGTTACGCACGGCCACCGTTACGCACGGCCACGGTTACGCACAGGCCGGGTGGAATGGTCGAACGGTGGTGAGCGTAATGTACATAAACCTGGCGGGGAGTGTGGTTGAGCAGTGTAGGTAGCTCGTTGAAGTGGAAAGTCACAAAATAAATACTCGGGTCGCTAAGTGTCGCAAGGTAGACCTCTAAAAGTTGTCAAAACCATCAAGACAGCTTTACTAACTTGTAAACGAAGTAAACTCATACACGATCCTTAATACACATCAGGAATCATGTCAATTGACCATTTACCAAGTATTAACCATTGTGAACTCATAGATGGTCATTAATACAGAGCTGGAATCTCTCCTAAATCTGCTTAAGTCTGAGAAAGTCACGGTATTTGTCACTCGTCACTTTGACAACATTTTATCACCTTGGAAACCCCAGAGAACATCTCTAAATCTACCAAACAAACTCGCCAGGTTGGCAACACTGGTGGCAAGTGCCGCTGGCGGGAGTGAGGGTATCGCAACTACCGGTGGAACTGACCCACTCCTGCAGCGCCTTCTGCAGGCGGCGCACGTGCAGGGGCTTGCTGGCCATGCCCACGAGTGCCATGATCTCCAGGAACTCCTCCTCGCTCGCCTCGCACAGCTGCGCCACGTCGTCGCCCCCCTGCGCCACGAAGGGCTCGTAGTACGACAGAAGGTTGGCACGCTGCAGCACGCGGAACAGCTGCAGCTCGCCCAACGTGCTGGGCTTCATCACCACCGCCATGGTGCCCCGAGCCGTCCCCACAACCAGGCCGTCCGTCGTCACCGCACCGCCGCCGTGCGACAGCCTGCAGGGGGGGGGGGGGGTGGTGACAGACAACGGCACTCATGTCATGCGTGCGGTATTCATTTCCTTCATCAAGTTAGGAGATGGAAATGTCGGTACGCAGTGGTAGTTTTTCTATTCAGCCAAAGGTTACGATGAGTGGATGAAAGTCGTCAAGTTTGACGATGGCTAAGGTAGCCCACCTTGGCATCGCTGATTTGATGCGATGAAGCGAATGAGTCTGATGAAGACGCAGACCGACATACTTTAGTAACATTATTAGAGACTGCAGTGTACTGCGGAACACAAACAAACGGTAAATGGGTATATGTAGATAAAATAGGATGACCGACTTCACTGATTGAATGTCCAAATATTATGGGGGGAGGGGGGGGGGGAGAGGAGGATGGGATTGTGTGCCCCGCACATTAAACCAAATGTATAAATAAGAGTGGACAATGTTTTGACTGCTTGTATCAACGAGACTAAGAGAATGATCATGAATTACATTTGTAAGGCACATTTAATCGTAGATCCCAATGCACAAATGAAAAAAAATTAACCCACAGACTGAGACTGAACTAACATTGCAAAGATTGTTGTCGGCTAGACTACGACTATTGCTAAACTAAAGAATGTTGACTAAAATAACACTGGTCTAATGCATGGCTAACTGACAAGCCCTTGTAAGAGCAACGGGGATCCATGTTTCCCGTGTGGCAGGCTATAAGCAAGGCTCCCCCCTGAAACTCTGGCCGGTCTCATCAGATCCCATTAAACTAAGCAGCGTCGAGCCGCCTGGTTAGGATTCTGATAGGAGACTGCCGGCATATTGCAGGTGCACCGAGAGGCGGCCAAGAGATGGTACAGCATTGGACTCTGTGCAGAGCTTTGAGTGCTATTCCCTCGTATGAAAGTGATTCATCCTGCATATCGAATGCTTATTCATGCAGTTAGTCAAACGTCTAATTGCAGGACCTTCCTGAAGCAGTGTCTTGACTCAGTGAGGATCTCCAGCAGGGGCGGAGCCAGGGGGGGGTGACAGGGGTCACATTCTGCGTATAAGTGTACGACACTCGGTCTGGTGGACTCCGTGCAACTGCATTGTCAGAGTGTGTCGCCAACCGATGGCGCCTAGTTCAACAGCCTGACTCTCTAAATCATTCTTGAAATTAACATTTGTTGAATGTCACCCCGGCCTGAAATCCTGGCTCCGCCCCTGATCTCCAGGGTAAATAATAATGCTCATCATCATTAAATACAGGTTGCAAAATTTGGACATCGCCACATGGGGCTACCCTATATCTGTCAGTGAGCGAAACTTTATTTCTTGCCACGTGTTTTTGATTTAATTTACAAAATAGAGCTCCCCACCCTGTGATGATGTTATCTTTGTATCCAGCGTAGATGCTGGAATCCTGTTTGAGTGCGGAGACTACATGGTTTAGGGAGGCAATACAACCGAATTGAGCACTCGTCTTTGACAAATCACTCAGAATAACCCCCCATCATCCTATCAGATCCCAGAAGGCAAGCAGTGATGAGCCTGGATAGCGCAAGGATGGGCGACCACCACAATGTGCAAGAGACATGCCATAGGCACTGTGGGCAGCAGAGGGCAGTACAGCATCAGCAGTTCTGCACTCCCCCCCCTCCCCACTGATCAGCGTGAAGTTTGGTGAAATATCCCGAATGGCCCGCAAGGTGTGGGGAGACCTTCATTCAGCAGTGGACTGACAGAAAGGGCTGTGAATGTACCTAACACGATCACTAGCAATGTGAGATACAAGGCTCACCAAGATTCAGTGGTACAGACAGTGGCTGGTAGAAGAGAGTCCTGCGATATGTGAAGCAAAATATAGGGGGAGCGTAAGTGTAGCAGTTAGCGCTACGTTACGCTACGAACCTGGCTATCCGAGTTCGATTCCTGCTCATGGCCACCAACACCAGTGACGATTATTTGAACCGTTCGACTCAGCCTCAAATGAGTATCTGGTGCGGTGTGCAAACATCGCCACTCGGGATACAAAGGCGGCCGGCCTTCGTGCTGGTCATCCAGCCCCTCGTGTGCCGTCCCGGCCTTCATAGGTGCGCGCTAACAGCACTTGCCCTAACAGTCTGTTAAGGCTACACGGGGGATTCGTTGTCTTTATCCTACGGTATGTGAAGAAAATTAAGCCCCATTGTCCTGTGGGGAAGCGTGGAGGCTTCTGTGAATATTCGGACACGTGCCCGCGTTCAGCACGTAAACCGGCCGCGATATGACTTCTTGAAATTAGCAGCAAACAAATTTATTATATCTAAACCTTTAAAAGATTTGCTTTAATCAAACTTTGTCATGCAGAATAAATGTGCCATAGTCTTTAAGTGGGTAAGTTGTTTTTGCATTAGTTTTATGCCATGCCTCTGCGTTCGAATTATAATATCTCGATTTTGAATCCACTTAAATAAACACAATCTGGAGATAATTCCTGTTCATCAACTACACAGGTGTAACAATCTGTGTTACTGCCCCATGCCCTAAGCAAGCTAAGTGATGCTGTATGGACTTCATTGTGTTATTAAGATGCAAATGTCGAATCAATGCTCCATTAGAAAATATATCCATCAGAAATGCAAAAAAAATACAAGAAAATTTGTATGAAATGTATAAGTGTTTGTGGGAACATGGCACGTCCGCTTTATTTTAATGTGTGGAAATTAATTTTCAATGTATGAAAATAGTCTTCGTGAAAGGCAGAGCTAATTTGAAAAGGTTTTTTTTATATATACACTACACATTCCCCTTTGGGGTTTTAGCTGACGCCACCCGCCCACGCACACACCCACTACGCACAAATGTTCACAAAGACATCCGACCGCCCGCGCGCCCACCCACACAAGCCCTCTTCTTCCCATGGTCAGTGTTCTTTCCACACCACCCCCGTCCCTCATCGCTCTCCGATTGCGCGCATTCTCCTCCCACACAGCTGCGCCTGGCACGGCAACTCCTCCTTCTCCTCCCACGCAGCCGCCTCCACTTCCTCTGACCACGCGCGAACGTTCCGTCTCTCAAACCCCATTCACCCGTCCCGTGGCGCACGTCACCGATAACACTCCCCACTACCACCACCACCACCATACACAACATCAACCCCTCCCCCTCTCTCACAGCACTACCACCAAACCTTCTCTTCACGGCACACACCATCACCACCACACACCACCAACCCTTCTCTCTCACAGCACACACCATCACCACCACACACCACCAACCCCTCTCTCTCACAGCACACACCATCACTACCACACACCACCCACCTCTCTCTCACAGCACACACCACCCACCTCTCTCTCTCTCACAGCACACACCACCAACCCTTGTCTCTCTCACAGCACACACCACCAACCCCTCTCTCACAGCACACACCACCAACCCCTCTCTCTCACAGCACACACCATCACTACCACACACCACCCACCTCTCTCTCACAGCACACACCACCAACCTCTCTCACAGCACACACCACCAACCCCTCTCTCTCACAGCACTTACCACCAACCCCTCTCTCTCACAGTACACACCACCAACCTCTCTCTCACAGCACACACCACCCACCTCTCTCTCTCACAGCACACACCACCAACCCCTCTCTCACAGTACACACCACCCACCTCTCTCTCTCACAGCACACACCACCAACCTCTCTCTCTCTCACAGCACACACCACCAACCTCTCTCTCACAGCACACACCACCAACCTCTCTCTCTCTCACAGTACACACCACCAACCCCTCTCTCTCACAGCACACACCACCAACCCCTCTCTCTCACAGCACACACCACCAACCTCTCTCTCACAGCACACACCACCAACCCCTCTCTCTCACAGCACACACCACCAACCCCTCTCTCTCACAGCACACACCATCACTACCACACACCACCCACCTCTCTCTCACAGCACACACCACCAACCTCTCTCTCTCTCACAGCACACACCACCAACCCCTCTCTCTCACAGCACTTACCACCAACCCCTCTCTCTCACAGTACACACCACCAACCTCTCTCTCACAGCACACACCACCAACCCCTCTCTCTCACAGCACTTACCACCAACCCCTCTCTCTCACAGTACACACCACCAACCTCTCTCTCACAGCACACACCACCCACCTCTCTCTCTCACAGCACACACTACCAACCTCTCTCTCACAGCACACACCACCAACCTCTCTCTCACAGCACACAACACCAACCTCTCTCTCTCTCAGCACACACCACCAACCCCTCTCTCTCACAGCACACACCACCAACCTCTCTCTCTCTCTCTCACAGTACACACCACCAACCCCTCTCTCTCACAGCACACACCACCAACCCCTCTCTCTCACAGCACACACCACCAACCTCTCTCTCACAGCACACACCACCAACCCCTCTCTCACAGTACACACCACCCACCTCTCTCTCTCTCACAGCACACACCACCAACCCCTCTCTCTCTCTCTCTCACAGCACACACCACCAACCTCTCTCTCACAGTACACACCACCCACCTCTCTCTCTCACAGTACACACCACCCACCCCTCTCTCTCACAGCACACACCACCAACCCCTCTCTCACAGCACACACCACCAACCTCTCTCTCTCACAGCACACACCACCAACCCCTCTCTCACAGTACACACCACCAACCCCTCTCTCTCACTGTACACACCACCAACCCCTCTCTCTCACTGTACACACCACCAACCTCTCTCTCTCTCACAGCACACACCATCAACCTCTCTCTCTCACAGCACACACCACCAACCCCTCTCTCTCTCACAGCACACACCACCAACCCCTCTCTCTCTCACAGCACACACCACCAACCCCTCTCTCTCTCACAGCACACACCACCAACCCCTCTCTCACAGTACACACCACCAACCCCTCTCTCTCACTGTACACACCACCAACCTCTCTCTCTCTCACAGCACACACCACCCTCTCTCTCTCTCACAGCACACACCACCAACCCCTCTCTCTCTC